AATTATGCTTGGGGTTTTCTGAAAGTTTTGGCAAGATTAGGAGTTGGGTGTGATGGTTAGGGGGCACAAGGTGCGGAAGGGGGACTTCGGAGCAAGGTCTTTGGCGAAGTGCCTTCGGTGAAGTCCCTTCGGGGAAAGGCCTTCGGGGAAAGGCCTTTGGCGAAACAGTAAACCCTCATAACGTTTTCAATGTGTGATGCCTTGACTCAGTTAGAGTCTTGTTGGAAAGAGCTCGCGACGCTCGTTCCAACGAGACCAAGAACTCTTGAAACGGATAAGGCGTCACTGAGTTATGAATGTCGGAGGTTACATATGGTAAGGGTTTAGGCGAGTGCGGCGACGGGCGTCTTCGGCGACGGACGCCTTCGGCGGTAGCAGGCCTTCGGAGCAAGGCCCTTCGGCGGAGGAGTAAAACTGTCATAACTTTTTCAATTCGTAACGCCTTAACTTAGTTAGGGTCTTGTTGGAAAAAACTCGCGACGATCGTTCCAACAAAACCAAGAACTCTTGAAACGGATAAGGCGTCACTGAGTTATGAGCGTCGAAAGCGGGTGTCATGGTTAGAGAGGGGACTTCGGCGTTAACATATAGAGGGGCCTTCGGCGATAACAGATAGAGAGGCCTTCGGCCCAAGGTGTTTCAAGTAGGCGGCCTGCGCATAGGCGGCCTGAGTTATGAGCGTCGAAAGCGGCTGTCATGGTTAGAAGAGGGGACTTCGGCGTTAACATATAGAGAAGCCTTCGGCGTTAATATATAGAGGGGCCTTTGGCCCAAGATGTTGCAAGTAGGCGTTCTGCGCATAGGCGGCCTGTGCATAGGCGGGTTGTGCATAGGCGGCCTACGCATAGGCGAGCTGCGCATAGGCGGGTTGTGAGTAGGAAGCCTGTGCATAGGCAAACGCCTTCGGCGGAAGAGTAAAACAGTGATAACTTTTTCAATTCTTAATGGGTTGACTTAGTTAGGGGCTCGTTGGAAAGAACTCAACACGCTCGTTCCAACGAGCCCAAGAACTTTTCAAACAAAGCAGGGATCTGTGAGTTATGAGCGTCGGGGGTGACTGTTAGAGTTTGGCAAAGGTGCGGAAGAGTGTCTTCGGCGGGGGGATGCCTTCGGCGGTGCGCGGAAGAAGATTTCGGACGGCGGATGTTGACGTGGTCATGAATACACTTTGTACGAGTATTTATGATCTCATTGTCTTGATTACACTTTGACCACATGGTTTGAGATCAGAGAAGTTAGATTATGGGAGCTCAAACCCCCACTTGGACTACAAACGCTGAAGGGTGGGAAGTTTAGGCTCACAAATGTTCCAAACAAAATAAATTCCATGATATTCAATCAAATTTGATATATTTAATTCTTTTGATTTTTAGTTTTAACGGCTACACGTATTTCAACTTAAGTTTTAGAGGTCAAATATTCTACTATGTTTTTTGTTATCTCACTCAAATCAAGACCAAATCATCCTTGAACGGCCAAACGAGGATGCAAATAGCTACAAGGTTACGATTATTCAAGAATATATTCACATGTGATGTGAGTCATCACTCTATTAATGAGAGGTAAAATCCAGCAATATCTTGTTGAATGAAAATTTTGTTGCAAAGATCATGGATTTTTTTCAAGCTCATGTCACTCTCAGTAAAAATTCTCAAGCCAAAACTATAAATCCATATGTTTGAGGCACACTTGATTACATAGACCTTAAACATCTAGTCATCCGGAAAATAAAATTAAAAGATCCAGATATTTATAACTTTGAGGTGTTATTATTGGAGCTCGTTGTGCTCACAGCTTGTTGTGCCGTACATTAGAAGATAAAATCTGGTGGAATGAACATAATACTAGATGAATAACGAGTTTAGATATTTCCAGCTCGTGCATCTATTTTGTAGATAGCAACTACCATGAAAAGGAGCTTTGCCATCTCATCTCTCATATAATAATATGCACTTTTATCAATGAAAAATCTAGGCCAATCATGAAGCATTCTTGTATGACAAACTTGATATGAAAAGAACATCCAATAAAATTTGCATCATCATTTTCAACATCCATATACATATGGAATCAAAGAGATACATGTTCTCTTATTCTTCACATAGCAAGAAAATACATCAATCAAAACTATTGATATAAGATATTGCAGAGCAATTGTTTTATTCTTTCATCTTTAACAAAAATTTGCAAATAAAGCATTCATCATATTTTAATACTATTAGTTACAAATATGCACAAAAATCACATAATAACACGGTATCACTCGCAAAGTTGGCATTGACAATACGTGGTTTGCTTTTGGTTACGTCTACAAGATTATAATTGTTTCCTAAGTAACTAAATCAATGCTTGAAGGTGAGCTAGTTCTTGATGTACTTTGTAGTACCAAAAAAATAAGACCTAAAATTTTAACCCAAATTTTCCAAAAAAATCTCCAAATAGAAATTTTTTTAACATGAAATAAACTTTCAAATATTTGAAAAATTCTAAGAATTTTGGTTTATTGTTTGAAGGATTTATCAATAAATGAAAGATACTTGCTAAGCCATGTTGATGATGGCTTTGGACAAGATGTGAACTAGAACAAATCAGAAAAAATGATGCGTTTAAGTTGATGATAGATGCATAAGTTGAAGATCTATTTAGCAAAAATGCATAACTTAGTACACAACAAAAGCAAAATATGTACCGGCAACAAAAGAAGCTATTTGATTCAATGAGTTTAATATTGAATGAGATTGAAAGATAAGTTTATAGATCTTCATTATGATAGTTGAAGTTTATTACATTTTGTTGCAAGTAAAATGATGTATAGCGTAGTGAAACACATCGACATTAGTTAGTACTTCATCACAAATGCAATTTTTGATAAAAGAATTGAGCTAGTCAAGATCAACACTAAATTCACTCTAGTTGATTTTTAGATGTAATTATAGTCGAAGAGTATGCATCGATGAGGCATTATTGATGACGGTCGGTTCAAGTTATTAAAAAAGTCCGCTTTAGGATTTTGGCTAAACTAGTTGTGTCTCTGTGGTACAACTTGGCACATCAAGTTTGCTCGTCTTATTGAACATTATATGTGTGTTTATGTGAATGTAGGATAGAACAAACCACATATCATTTGATCTCTTGTGTGAATATATGTCTCCTTGTAGTTTGCTGCCAAAATTCATATCACATTTTTAATTCTAGTCTACGCTTGCTTGCAAATCCTTGCTTTTCAAACCTTACTCAAATTTCCACGCGTTAATTTGCCATGCCATCAATTGAGATTTGCGAGGAGGACGCTGATAGTGATTGAGTCGAAGAAATCTTGTCAAGGAATCTTTGTACAAGAAGTGTTTCAGGACATGACTTGAAGTAAAAATGCTTGAGTTTTGGGTAGATTTAGCACTCTTCCCCAAGGGTGAAACATGTTAGTTCTATGTCACTATGTTCGTGTAAATTTCAAGTTTTACCGTCAAAGTATATAATGATATCAACTTAACAGTATCATGTTTTTTTATGATCTATATGATTGTCATCTCACCTCATATGATCTTTTTTTTCTTATTTAGATACAAATTCATAAAAAAATTTGTGAATCATAAAATATTTATACTTTTTTTTAACTGATTCAGAATTATAAAAGCATACTAAAAGATTCATGACCAAAATTTCTTTCAATTTGAATTTAAAGATAAAAAAGTTTTTTTCTATGCACATCAAACTTTTTATTTTCCAATTGAGTTCAAGATTTTTTAACTTAGTAATTTTTTGACAAGAAATATATCTTTTAATCAAGTTATTAGAAAACCCTGCTTTCTATGTGATATCAAGTACAAAAGTCTGAAAAAAGTATTTTTTTCTCTATAGCATCATTCAAATCATTTAAGTGTAGTAAAAAAGCATTGAGTAAAAAAGTATTGAACCAAAAAAAAACTCATACCAATGTCAACAAATAAGATCAAGAAAAAAACATTGACTATAAATGATATGGTCTAAATCTAATAAGATTACATTCACAAGTTAAGGAAATTTCTTTATGATTGTCACAAACAAAAAATATCTTATAAAATAATAGATCATCTTGATAAATTCATAATTTATTGATTTCCATCACCTGAAGATGAATTTAAAAATGAATTGCTTTCAAACAACTGGAAAATGGGAAAAGGGTACAACAAGATCATCGTTTCAATAACAAGAAATAAAATGTTCATTTGAATTCTTGTCGATGGAACAAAATGATATTTGCACAATGCAAATTGAATTTGGAATATTTTCAACTAACATTTTAAATAAATTACAAAACCGGATCTTTACGCCCCAGGATACAAGTTTTCTGATTTTGTGTCTACCTTTCAACTAAAGAATTATTGTGTTCTCAATGTTTGACTTGTAAATGGTCTTCTGTAAAATCTAAAATTGGCTTTGAAACGTTTTGACAAATCAAAAGACATTTTTCTTTTACCAAACACAACCATCCAGTATTATCACTCACACATTAAATTAAGTGGCTCAACGTACATATAAACACAAGGTAATTCAGTGTGAGTAGCCAAAAATTATCAAGACGCATTTAATGCTTAAGAAATTATCATACATTACATGTAAGAAAATCAAAAAATAAAGATTTTCCATACTTTTTACATCAATCGATTTAATCTATTGTTATTATTACATCAGTTTCACATGATTCATTCTACTGAAATGAGTTATAATGAGCTTGAAGCATCATTACACACAACTTTAGCTTCTTCATTAAATCGTTTGCATGATTTTTTGAAATTCATGATGTGTTTTGTTGAATCGTATATTTTTATAATGTCGATTTAGTCAAATATGATAGAAAAGTATCCAGCACTTTTCATTAACAGATCAATTTGAATTTTAACGATTACTAGAATAAAATTTACTCAAAGTAAAATTTCTTTTGAATATACTTAAAATATATATTCATAAATATAATGTTGAAGAAGATTTTGTACTCATTTCAAAGTACATCAAAATATGTGCTGAAGAATAATCATGGTAATTTATTAATCCCTTGGCATTTATGCAACATTTGGTTTTAGATAGTTAATCCATTCAACAAAAACATACGTTGGCCTAGAAATCTTAGTATTCTTCACAAATTTCGTGATGATCAATCTAACTGACAAAGTACTCGAGTCGATTTGTAAGTATATTCATTTCTGTCAAACTTGTCTCTATGAACGACTCGTACTCGCACTAGCACTAGCGATACAACCATTGCTGTTGAGAAACTCGGAACACGATGAAAAGGTTGCCTCATGAGTAGAGGCCAAATATGCATGTCAGTTTACTGACAACCAAGCTCTTTCGATCGAACGAGCAGAGGAAGGGAGAAAAATATAAGCATCCATCGAGGGATTCATGCTGCGAGCACAGGAGGACCAGGACCTGCACGGATCGCGTTAGCGATTGAAGCGCGACCTCCTCCTTCTTCTCCTTCGTCTTCTCCTCACTATCCCTCTCTTTCCCGCTCCAAAGTCCAACAAACTGTCTGTACAGCGGTACCAACGGAACGGAACAGCTTTGCGACTTTGAATGGCTCCCTCGAAGCAGCAAGTACACTATGCAAATCGAATCAGTCGTCTCCGAGCAGAGATCACAACATGCGTGTGTCGGTCTGCGAGGATCCGAGTGTCGGACGAAACGGATTTCCCATCAGCCATGGCTGCCAGACGCAGGCGGACAGTCGGCCCATCGGCACCGGCCACTGCACGAGCCCGGATCCAGGCGCGCTTCCTGTGGCCGCAGCGGCAGCAGCTGCTCCTGCGGCTGCTGCCGGTGATTAAAGCGCTCCAGCGTCCAGCGGGAAGAACCTGAAGGAGATGGTGGCGGAGGTCGTGCTTCGGTCTTCCATCTTTCCCCACGTCCTAACGGCTCCATCTGCATCCTCATCCCCGTCCCCGTCTCCCGCTGTTTTCTCCGACGACGTGAGCGTGGAGCGTGGGTCTGCGCTTTCGAGCCGGCGAGGCGGGACGTTACTCATTTTTGAACTCTCCGCCAGATTTGGCTCGGCGCTGTGGCGGCCCATCTGTACTCTCCATGCACGCGTGCGAGCGTGCGTGCTTGCGTCATCGATCGAGAGATGGATGGAGGGGCAGGTTCGACGATGTACATCGGAAGCAGGCGAGGCCGAGGCCGAGGGCAGTTCAGGTCAGGGCGGGGCGGAATTTCGCAATGGCATCGACGAGGGTCTCCATTCCATTCTTCTCTTTCTGACACGGCGAAACCTGCGAGCGACTTTCTGCACCGAGGGTGGGAGAGGGAGAGAGCTTCAAGAATGTCTCAGCACAAGACACGGCGTGGGCTTGCATGCTCATCTTGGAGCGCCCCATCTGCTGGCGGGGTATTGTCGTCTTTGGAACTAGTGGCGTGACACTCGGACAGGCGCACAGGCAAAGGCAGGATGGAACGAGATAGGAATGGAAAGTGATTGAACTGGTCTTGCGAAATTTGTTGGTACGTTACTGTCCTCACTCCCTCCCCCGTCGGCGGGCCATTCAGCCGACCTTTAGGAAGGAGGTAGTTTCCGTTCCCGTCTCCTTCGGAGGATTGGTCAGTGGATCCACCAAATTAGGAAGTCTGTGCCTTCACGCACGCTGTCGAGCGAACGAGCTTGCTCTTGCTCACCTCCAAAGCCTGCGCCAGTCGTCGAAAGAAACGGCTTTAATTCGTTCGGTTTCTGTAGAATCTTTTCGCCGAGTCTATCTGCATCGGAAAGGTAGGAGGCGATGGTTCACGAGGACATGGCCTGCAGCCTGGGTCATGTGGGAAGGAAGCTCTGCAGCAGCAACTACTGTGCGCATGGGATGCCTGTACAGTTTCCCACTGTCGCCCGAGGACGAGGAGGTGTTAGCTCTAGTTGCAAGCCTGGAGAAGGAATGTTTGAATTCTGGCATAGTTATAATGCTATCAGAAGCAGCAGTCAAGAAGCAAGAGCAGCAGCGTGATCTTTAGCGTGCTGAATGTTGTCTGCTGCTTGCGATTGCGCCGGGGCAGGAAGGAAGGATGTTCAAAAGCCGTAATTTGATGTCCTCTTCTCCTCCTTCTCCTTACGGGGAATTCTGGCCGCCAGACAGAACAATGAGGACGGCACGCATATCCCATGTTGAACACTGAATTTGATCTCAGGCTGAAGACTGACGCACACTTGAGAAAATCACATGGAAAGAGAGATTCTAGTCGATAGAGGACTAACTGAAAGGGTAATCGTAGACCTTGTGTGGTCCTTACCAACCCACCCCCAACCCTACCCATCCCATCCCATCACATCATCGGGGCAAGGAAAGTTTCTAACACACTGTCAGGTGCTTTAGAACTGTGGGAGGGCAGGGTAGACACTTCCAATTCAACACAACCGAGGAACAGAAGAAGATTATGCACCTCTAAATCAAGTTGAATCTCCCTACTTTGCTCTGTTGTGATGGTTTCTGTTCTGATTTGAAATGCGGCAGGCTTTGCCTTGCCGGGGGAAGAGCCGTGGTAGTAGTACCAGCCGTAGCAACAGTCAACTTTCAATACTATCGACAGATGTGATTGGGGAATCGAAATAAAGCGACCAGTTGGGACCTGATCTAAAGCGCAGACTAAACATGGCACTTTGTATATGCGCAAACAAAAGCAGGGTCCTGTTTCGGATCACTGAAGTAAACTAGAATCAGTGAATCACTGCTCAGTATCCGGTGAAAGCTTGTGTAAGATTCGCTTTGTGCCCACCATTCTCGCGCATCCTTTCCCAGGATTGGCTCCAACTTGGTGGACGATTCTCGTGATGCCAGATTCAGCAACTGTTTTGCAGAGGATGGATGATCAGAAACGATCATCCGGAAGGATGATCTCATCCACAGGAGGATTTGAGCAATATAATAATGAGAGTCCGTTTGGGAATCTGACCGATGAAAGGTTTTCTGGTTGAAAACCCTCGTTGCATCAGGCAGAGAGTGGTAGTAAAAAGTCATTAGCTGATAGAAAGGATTACTAGAGGCGAGACAAATGCAAGTGGACCTTCAGAAAAGGGAGTCGGTCTTCCTCGAAGATCCTCTTGGTCCCGCGGCTGGACAAAGGCACTGGGTCGAGTAAGAAAGTAGAAAAGGCGGGTATTTGATTCACAGTGGTTCAGTGGCCGGCTGGCTGGCCCGTTCAGTGAACTTGAGTCAGTCGAGCACTGAGCAGAATCAGATCATCAGAGCAGAGCGGTTCCCGTACCCGTACTGCAATGCGTACTCTACCGGACCAGAAATAAGTACTGTACTGTGGGGGTTGAAGGTCTCACTACGCTGCCGTCTGGTGGAAAGCAGCTTGGGGATTCGAAGAACGCTTGTATTGTTCATCGGCTTTCCTCCCTTGCTCAACACGAAGTTCTCGAACTTCCAAATCCGGATAGCTGGCACTGCACTGCACTGCACTGCGTAGGTCAGTTCCAGCATCTGACATCGGTCTGCCACCTTCTGTCGACCTCTTTTGGCTCGAGCTTCGCGGGCGGGCAGGCTGGCGGTAGAGGGCCCTCGCAGTTGAGCTGTCCACACCAGTCGCTCTCTTCGTGCTCTCATCAACCAAGTCATGAAACGTTTGAAATCCACGTCTCTGTCTTCCCTGATGCACCCCGCTGCTGCTAGCGCTGAATTTCATCCAGTTTACAGTTCTGACATATCTGATGCAGCCGTGAGTGACTTGACTGAAGGGAGGGCGGGCCAGTCACTGTTCACCTTACATACTTTGTCGACACTCAGCGGTAAAGGAGCTTTAGGAGCGGAATCATCATCACCTGCGATGGAAAGTTTGCCTACTTTAGGGTTCTCGGACATGAGATCTGCTAGATTTGGCATTCGCTGAGATGAAAATGTTATCACATTCCATCTCTTCCAGATGATCTGATGATGTCATGCTTCAGTAATGCTACTCGGAAAAGAACTCTGCTTCCTGTGCTTCGCCCTCTCTCTTTTCTGGACCAGTTGCAAACCTCTGCGGTAGTGCGCTGATGCACATCGAGTTCTACTCACTCGCACCTGCAACAGACATCCTAAGCTCGGTTCGGCCACTGAAATGGATAACTGGATCTAGGGCAATAGAGGGTATGGAACGCAAGACGCTTCTAACATGAAACTGTTCCCAGAAAATGGGAACACATTCCATGCCGATGGCCGGCCTGGCAAGCTGGAAAAGGGGGAGGAAAGAAGGAACAGACCAGACAGACAAGCGACAAGGTGATGCACCGACGAGATAAAATATTATTACAAGGTCTCAAAATACATCCTCGTGAGGCTTCTTTGGAAGCTCGCCAGCTCAACTTTGCGTGAAGCTAAATCTAGTCCTACAATCTCTATCTTGCTGCGTATTCATCGATAAGATGTAAACTCCTCCAGACCAGCAATTTCTCTTGCCGTTCGCTTCATCCGTGAGCCGAGTGTTCCAAAAATCTAGAAGTTCAGCCCGGACCCCAACTCGCTGAATGAAGGGTTTTACCAATCAAAACTTTGAACTACCCACAAACTTCACATGATCCATGCATCCTATCAATGCAAGGGATGTGCGTCCCAACCATTGACATCAGGATAAATTATTCACAAAATGCAGATTTTGACAGGTGAGGAGTGTCTAATACACTCTCAGTAAAACTCGGTGGACTCCAAAGCCCAGGAAAGAATAACAGGCTTGTCGTCGTCGTCAGTCAGTCACCAGTGACTCCAACCGGACTAGACCGGCAGAGTCAATCGCAGCGGAAGGATAGGCCAAAATGTGGCACCAGTGTGCGAACCAACTGTACACAGGTCCCTGGAACGAGCTCTTTCAATCCACTCCCCGACGCACATTCGTAGTGAAGTCTTAGAAATTGAGAATCAAAATGGGGAGAGGGAGGGGGAGGGGGAGAGACTGGAGGACAGATGCATGTATGCCCATCCGTCACCATCGCAGAACGAACGGCTCCACCTCAGTACACATTTTCTCTCGGCTCGGATTCATTCACATGCTGCTAGCCTTGCCGGTATATGGTGATCACCAAAGGCGGGCTTATGGTTACTTGTAGTACTGTGTGTAGCAGTTCCTCCATGAAAAAAATTAGGGGGTCCTTCCACCGCTCAAAGAATACGGTCAGACAGCGACGGAAGTCTCCGGAAGAAGTTCAAGGGAACGGCTGGCAGCGGGTCTCGGAATTTCGGGTGTCGCAAGACGTACACTCCCAGCAGCACGGCCACCACCCGGAATGGAGTCACATACAGCACGATGGCTGCCACCAGGCAAAACGTCACAAATATCGATGTCGCCCTGCAACCGAGTTAGTGGCCATCCACCAAGTCAGCGAGCGAAGAAGTTGCTTTCTCTCAAATTGCTCCTGAGGGACACCATTCGGTTTTCTAATTGCATCAAATCGAAGCCCGGTACTGGCAGGAGGTCAGGAAGTGCTCACCTGGGATCTCTCCAGCTCAGAAGCGCTTGTAGTCTTTCTCCTTGAGTCGCTGCACTCCCCAGGAAGTTTTGTATTCTACCGGCAAAACCTCGTAACCTCTCGTATCTTTGCTTGAGAACCTGTACACAGCAAGGACATGGACCCATCAGAACCCATCCGATCCAGGAAGAGAGAACTCGGTGTTTGGATTTGATTACGAGAATTGCTTTCGCTATTCAGTCAGTGAGCAGGTCGGTCAGGGCAGTGAGTCAAAGGAATAGACAGTCTGCTGCAGTACCTGCTCCGTCTTGTTTCCTGTGACTACGTTGAATTCTTCCTCGAGCTCGTCAAGATCCCTGATGGGCTCCTCCCCTCCCTGTGATAGCTTGGAGTCCATGAACGGCGGCGAGCGCGAGCGAAGTCTGTAGTTCCAAGCCCCGATCAGGAACATGTAGAGGAAGACGGTGGGGAGCATCAACTCGGGGTACCACACCAGGATGAGGTACAGGATGTGAACCAGGACCGTCGTTACAGGATTCTTCCATCGGCAGATATCTTCGAACCATTTTGCAACGGCGAAAACACCATGCAACACGTTCTGCAAAATGACAGCAAACTCGATGAGAATTTACGTGGACCGGTCTCTTCTACAATGATCTGCGTGTCATTACAGGGGTCAGGACTTTCAGAGATCAACTGGAGAGAAAGGGTGGAGAAAGCATACCGCAATTCGGAAATAATTAGCTTTACTTCGCCGCATGCTCCACCGATGAGACTCAGTGTCCAACATGAATTGCACGACCTCTTGTCGAAGAGGAGGCTCTGAGCGGGCCAGTCGGGATGCCACGAGGTTCATGGCCGCAATTCGCAAGTTCTCAACATCACCCAACTCCAGAGGATGGAAGTAATGCATTCGTGGAAGAGGAGGCTGCAAGTACGCTTGCATGCAATTCACGGTGGATATACACGAAAACCGAACGGAGCACTCCAGCTCCCCCATCTTCTTGATGCCAGAGGCCGTGACGACGAGCAGGGGGTAAGCGTTAGTGTACACTCGATCACTTTCCAGAGTAGACAGACGAATTCGAATTTTCCCGATTGGGGTATCTTTGACACCCGCAGCTTTTTGGGCAACCCCGTTGTTCACATGCCTGCAATTGAGGAGGACGAGCCGCACAAGTCAGTGAGTGTGGATGGATATAGGACTCTGAGTCGGCACGTCGGCATTCATGCACGAACGCAGTACTGAAGCAGGTCAGGGCTAAATCAAACCTTACCGATTGTCGAACACACCCACAGTGAGCACGGTGCATGGATCGTAAACCTCCCAAGTATATTGCTCGTTCCATTTGGGGTTGAAACTCTCAGTAATCGTCCGTGTTCTCACCCACTTTTGACCGTACTTTGCGACGCAGTAGGCGTCGGTATTTCCTCTTCCTCCGGTGCCATTGTGCATGGGCAGCAAGTTGTTTGCTCCGATGATACCCAACTCCAAGACTCCGAGTGAAGCTTTCCACAATTGTTTTGCAGTCGGTCTATTGCAACTGCTAAAATCCGGAGATTCATCCAGCACATGATAACCTCCATCAAATGATAATCTCAAATGAATACGACCTCTGAATACATTTTTGTCTGTGCTGTCCAACACGTGCCACCTGATGAGAAGATACAATAGCTTGGGTCAGAACTTGTTAAGAGAAAAATGGCAATTCAGGTTACAATCTCCAGACGAGCACGCGTAGGACAGGGACAGGGCCTTGTACATCTACTCGAGAACACTTACGTCGAGGGAACGGAACGGCCGTCGATCCGCCTGTGAATGACCTGAGGTGACAGAGGTAGCTTGACCTGCCCCATGATTTCCTCCTGTCCACGGGCAGAACACAGCCAACATCAGCACATGAATGTTTCTCGACGGACTTCCTGGCTGTCGGAAATGAAGGAAGCCACAAAACACACCTCGCAATCAATCCAGTCAGTTGCAGTACCTTGTTCCCTACGCGGTCCTTGACCAGAATGACCAACAGCTCTTCAAAAGGCTCTGCAACCACGAACATCAAATCCTTGTTCCACTGAGGATTCACGCCCTTCACATCGCCCTTGTGAACCCTAAGAATCTGTAATGACCCCAGCTGAACCTCCACAAACTGCAGGGCACAAATTCATGTGAGCACACGGCTGCAATGGCTTCTTCAGATGTTCAAATCCGCAGCAAGGGTTTTAGTCCGAGTGGGAAGAAACTCACCGGCTCAGGAAGCCGACCTTTGTCCGGAGGAAGAAGATCTTGCGCTTCGATGATGTTGACTCGCAAGTACCACAATTTTGGTGACAGGTAGACCTTGGAGCGGAAATGGGCGTGACCGCCGGTGTCAGACTGCCAGGCTTCTTGAAATGCCTCATCGGCCTGGGTACCCATCCACAGAGCGAGCATGATATCTCCTGCAGGAGTCAGACGGGGTCCGTGGCATTTGCTTTAGGCGCAATTCCAATTCGTAAAGCGACTTGGACGTGAGTGGCGGAGAATGAAACTTAGAAGCAGACGATACGATCCAGAGCAAGGCGAATTTCAACACAAGTGCGTACCTTTAACTCTCGTCTTTCCAGGCCTTTCTTCTAGTTTGTACCATTGCGGCGCTAGAGGGCTCTCGGGGGGCTTTCTCGTGGGAATCTCGGCAAGCTCGAAAGAAAGAGCTCCCAAAAAATCATCAGGTCCGACCATATCCTGCATTCCGAAAACTCCCTCCCCAACTCAGAAAAGCCTCCCGGTGTGAAATTTAACCAAGTGACTCGTCACATAAAATGCTATTTCCAAAACGTAAAGCAATTTGTTTCAACATCCAAGGCTTTGACGAGAAAGTCGTACCGCATCCCACACAGAGATCTCCAAAAGAGGCCCGTGCAATTTCTCCTTGGAGAAAGCGAACACTTGGTTCCACTCAGGGTCGAGATTCTTCGGTATGATTTTACTCTTGGCGTTCGCGTCACCGACTGCAATCTTGACATACTGCGGCAGGAGGCGAGGACATGAGATGAGACGACAGGTTCATAGAAAGTGTGTCAGCAGCAGCAACGACGGCGACGGCGACCATGGAGGGCCAGCAGGCAGGTGGACGTTTATTTCCACGAACAACGACTTGAGTGGAAGAGGGAAGTACAGGGCTGAAGCTTACCGGATCACTCGTTCCATTGGCATCCTTGGCAGCAAGCTTGCGAGCTTTGACAACCCTCACGTACAAGTAAGTCATGGGCTCAACGAGATCATAATTGTGATTATACTCGACAGCCGCTCCGAGATTTCTCTGCACGACATCTCTGATTTGGAACTCCGCCGGGGCCACCGTGCTGAGGTTCTTCGGCTGCTCGGGGGGCTTATCTTCTGGACCTGGACCCGGCGGCGGCTTGGCCTCCTCTTTGGGGGGAGGCTTCGGCTTCGCCTCTTGAGGTGGTGGCGGCGCTGGCTTGGGATCTTCATACCACACCTTCAGACTGCCCAGTCACGGCAGAACCAGTTAGCAAGCGAGTTTCACACACTAATTCATCAGCATCAACATCACTCTCGATCTCCTATCCTGACTTCTTTTCACACGAGCTCGCTCGCTAGCTCGTTCTCTCTACTTCTCTCTCCTCGCCAATGCAGCTCTATCTCCTCGTAGCGACTCGCCCTTTTCGGAGGAAGGGGAGCATGCAACGACGAGGTCTCGAGCAGTAGTTTCTACAACAGAGGACGCATCATTGGGGAGTCGACAGCAGTGCTGCTGCTGCAGCAGCAGCGGCAGGAGGAGGAACGAGAGCATCGCTGCGGAGAGATGAAGGTCGGACCGAACTTGGTCAGGTTGAATGGCGGGCGTTTTCGAGGCCGAGGAACGGCAAGAGTGGAGCTCAATTCAGGCTGCTCCTCGGGGAAGAATGTGCAATTAGAAAGGGTCTGATCACAGCTTGGCTTTGCTAATCGGTGACAGGAATGATGAGAATGGAAACAGCAGGAACGGCCGACTTACTTACCCTAATTCTCCCTTGACGTGGGAAAAGAGCCCGCGCTTGTCGAGCCGGAGCCACTGCAATGCCTCCTGTCCCTGCTTGACCACATCCGCTACCTTGATAGTCACCCTTCCCAGAAAATTATTCCTCCGAGTGCCTCCCTTGCGCTCATTGTAGATGTTGATTTCCAATGCGCCTGGATTCATGATGTCCGAAATGGCAAAGTCGAACTGCAGACACCAACAGTTGCCACGAGCTCAACTTCACTTCCAAGTGCGTACACAGAAATGCTTCCATGGATGATGGATGATCCAACTCTCCCAGAACACAAAGAGATCGGATGATGGCAAGCCCGCGTACCTTTTGGCCCCATGTGGGATTGAGATCTCTCATCTTGGTATTCGTTTTCCTCCGATTCCCATCGTAGTCCAGCTGAAAGCGCAAACACAAGCCAATAAGCGACCCCAGATTTTGCAACATCGAGCTCGACTGCTACGGGAAAATGACCAGAGCAAATCAATCATTGATGTGAATTCCCGAGTGGACCTGGATGTGCAGTCCAGGGACGGAAGCAACCTCGAGGGTATAGACGGCAGAACTGAAGGAGACGGAATGACAGCGAAACGTAGAGAGGGAGGTGAACAAAGACGAGTTCCAAATGAGGAGAGGAGGGAGGGAACGAGGAGGGGCAGAAAAATACGGTGCAGTAGGCGCTCGCTGAACCCGAGCCATCCTTGGGCATAAGATTGCGGGCACTGACGACTTCGACGACGAGCTTTCGAGGAGGCGGCGCCATAGCTGCAAGGCCCCGTCTGCCAACAACTCAAACTCCGCTCCTCCGGGGACCGAAATCACCACCCTTGCTCCTCTACATCGCCTGCTGCAATCGCTCGCTCGCTCGAGTGCTCACGGACTCACTCTTCCGCTTCTCCAGACGAGCTGCTACTCGATGATTCTACTCGTCTATCTACCGGGCTTTCTTTTCTATCTACTTCCTACCTGCCCTTCCTCTTCCTCCTCCTCCTGGCATCCAGCAGCAGCAGCACTACCATTCACATAAAACTAGACTACACTAGCATTCCTCCCTCCTCCCTCTTTGCTCCCCTTGCCCGAGAGCTCGAGCTCGCTCAAGCCACCTCAAATTTCCACGCGCAGATCGATCCTGTTGCCCGGCAAAATCCACCACCATCAGACAATCACCGCTCGCGAACACCGGGATCGAGGAACTGTCGAGTGCGCCCAAGCGCCCACACACTCTCGGCAGAGAGATCCAAGGAGGGAGAGCCGCTGCACAAGCCCAAACAGCGATAAGTAGTGGACGAGGCCCGGTCCCTCGCTGGTGCGCCCCCTCTCCCTCGTCCTCCTCCTCCTCCTCCTTTCCTCTCGTCCCCTCTCCTCTCCACTCTAAGCTGCCCCTGGCCCCTGGCCCTCTGCTCCGCTGCACAGGCGCAGCGCAGCCCAGGCTACAGTCCCCAAAGCGAAGCACCACTACTCACCTACCATAGCCAGACACAGAAGCCAGAAGGACGAACAACGGGGGGAGGTGCTTCTCACCCCTAGGGTGGGGGCCTGCGGCCTGCCGCTGGCCTGGCTAGCGACCAGACGTCGACCCGCTCGCCAGGCCAATACCCCCGGCCTGCGCTCCGCTCCGCTGTACGTGCTTCATCTCGCCCGCTCGAAATAGCGATACGGAATGCGGTCGACATGTGGGCGGCAAATTTCCGGTCCCCGCAAGGCCGCGCTGCCGTCGAGCGGGCGGATCCCGTCGTCGTCGACGAGGAGAAAAGCACGTTCGGTTCCGGCGTTGTGCTTGTTCGAGATCGGGGCCGGGACGAGAACGGGGACGGCGGCTACGATAGAAGAACGGAGGGACGAGCGACATGAGAGCCAGATCGCGTTTGGCGAACAGTGCTCTTGTAACGGTGGGGTGGGGTTCACTGTGGATGAGTAAATGTCAAGATAAATGCTACTGGCGGCCGAGGAGTCCGATCTGGCATCCACCGTGACAAGTGTGAAGCCCACTATTGATTTAGACACGTGTATCGCCTCCGATTAGTCCATTCGCGGTCGACGGACGATGGAAAGGTCGCGAGTGCCAGGTGTGAGCGCCGCCGGAATGTTTAAGTGAATCGGATTATCGGACATTGGCGAGGGGTTAGCGAGTAAACGGGATTAGCGAGCTAAGTGATCGTTAGACCGCAGTGTTTACTGGGCGTTCAAACTCGCCACATTTACGCACGCGACGCCCCCATGGGCTAAATTAGGCTGCGCAAGACGTTCTCCAATTAGGGCTGAAGTGATTCGTGCTTGGCCGTCGTTGGTTGGGAAGTCCAGAAGGAGCTTTTTGTCCCGTTTTACTTTAGGACAAGAATTAATTGCACACCATCGACTCCACTCATTTCCATCAATTACCCCGACACCAAGACGACATCCCCTCCCCCTCCTCCTCACCCCCCGCGTTTAAATATAGTAAGAGCCGTCCCTTGACCTCTCTCGCCCCTCCTCTTCAACCCGCATATTATCCCAATACCCTCTAGAGAATTCCGTTACTCAAGGAACAAATCCCCGCAAAATAGCGTTCCTACGCCGCGTCCGGTATCGTGCCGGCTACAGCCGGTCAGGCTTTGCCTAGCCGGGAACTCGCGCCTATATACAGCACTCATAACCTAGGACACCAAAACGACACTCTAATAATTCTCTCTAGAAGAATGGCACGAGTTAAATGAAAGAGCACCATCATTGACCCATAAACCGGTTGAGGTAGGCTGGCGATGGGAGACGATCAGCAGATGGTGGTGAAGATATAGCGGTAGGGCCTCAAGAAGGATCATCGTATCCGGTTCTATACCGCCGGAGCCGGTGGTCGGAGACGGCGTACTCTACCGTACCGGAGAGCTCATGAAACGCAAAGATAGTGATACTGAGATGTTTCGGCCGCTCCGCTTCTTCTTTGGATTGATGGATGGGCATCCTACATCCATTCATGTAGACATGATCATGACGATGAGCCTCCTCGGACTCCTCCTCGACAAGTGGAAATCTAAAGGGCCCTCAAATGGGGTGGAAAGAAATTACCGGTCAAAGCTCACCTGCTCCGTGACATTCCGATCCGGTAAATCCGAAAAAGCGCCCGGTTCCGACCGGTGACATCTCGAACGAGCACTGCCTTCCTTAAACTCAGCCCAACGCCCACGTGTGAGTCACAGTACCAGCTCCGTTGGTACAGTGCCCGCTTAGGTCAAAACCCGTAAACGCTGGTTGACAGACAACGCGCCAGTCGCAAGCTCCATGATCTCGTAGTAAATTCAAAGGTTCCCGGTTTACCCCCGACTCGAATCACCGGGGCGACCAGCTCGGTTGGTCCGGTCGCCGCCCACCACCGACCGGCCGTCGCAGAGAAAAACTCATCTCACTCTCGCCTGATTCTCCGGTGGCCGCGGCAGTAGAGGGCTGGTCCCAAGGACCCGTTTACTTTCTGCTCTTGCTGGGTCCAGACCCCAGATATTACCTCTATCGTGAGAGAATATGAGCGTATTTTCGCTGCAGATGACAGGTATTTTCCAAACCACCCGTTGAGTAAATGCGCCTCTGAACTTCGCTGCAGGAGCAGAAGCAGCGGCCCCAAAATCAATGATTTTCATTTTGTGCAGGGCGCAACGGAGGTCGCCGTTCTTACTCTTACTCTGGTCTCCGCTCTCCTGACTCGTTCAATGTGGGGACGGAGACAAAGACTCGGAGGAGAGTGGAGTGAAACTGCCAGGAGGGTGGGGGGAGCTGCGGCACTCTCCCTCTCTCTCTCTCTATCTCTATCTCTCTCTCTTCGGCCATTCCTCTTCTCATGTTCTTTCTGTGTGTTTGCTCGCTCGCCCGTCCGATCGAACCGTCGACTTGCTTTTACGTCTTTGCACTAACCAAATAGTCAGACCGCTCACGAGAACATCCTGTAGACACGGAGCAGGTGACGCTTTCTGAGCCAGTGGGAGATTCTTTTCTCTAATTCTCCTTCTAATTGTATGTTTTGGAGGTGAGAATCTGGAGGTATCGCAAGCGTAGAGCATGGAGTTAGTCAAAGTTTGTCGAGTTAGTCAAAGTTCTTCATCCTCGTATCCTTCGAGTACTGTAATATTAAATTTTGCAGCATCTCTTATTGACATTATTTCCCGAGAAAGGGAAAGATATTCCCATGCATGAGAGTGATCGCCTTTCTGATGTCTTGACCCTGAAGGGATTCCCTTGGGACCTATCTCTTCCATTTATGTATCGTTCAATCAACACACAAAGTCAAATTAAAAAAAGGATGGGAACACCTCATGCAGTCCCGGGAGACTTTTGATGTACCTAGGCTATGAACATTCTGATAGCGAGGATGGATTGAATTGAGGGAGAGCCACATGGATGAAACCAACTGGTTTGCTAGCCCACAATAACAGTGCAATGAGAATTATGTACTCTTCCATCCATGTTTACACAATTGGTTCATCAAGGTAAAGTGAATACCTCTAGAATAAGCAATAAGCTCTTAGATGAAGAATTTATGCTATGTCTCTATTTTCTTTTTAGTCACTCTTACGAGTGACTAAAAAGAACTAGATCTCTTATTCAATTAACTCCAGTATGTAGTTATATAGGTTAAGTTTAAAATGAAATCAAAAATCGAAATAGATGTAGAGAGTGCCAACTAGTGGAAAGTGCTGTACGTGGAGAATTCTACTTTGATAAGAAACATACCACCCCACACAATTAAGGAAAAGATGCACGCCTCTCTCTCTCTCTCTTCCCCCGAACCATTCAATCAATCAAATAATCACTTTGGAACCAATCTACAATGTCAATCGAACATGTGATAAATGTAACACACGGATCATACCAATTCCCTTCTCCTCTATTGTGCTCATCTTTCCACTTTTTCGCCCATGGAAAATTGGCTAGTTTTCCGAGCTGAAGGACGGAAGAGTAGAGCATGTGAGAATCAATATCCACCACGCCAACACTATGAGCACTATGAGCAGCGGCTGCTGCTTCTTCGGTCTTCTTCTTTTCCCTTCGTTGAGAAAGCAAAGCCAAGGCGGCAGCGCCGCTCCAGTCCAGAGTCCAGACGAGGCCAGGCATTCGGGGCGGGCGAAGCCCCACCACCATCAGAGCCAAGCCCCACGGGAGGGTGGGAAAAGGCAACGGCACATACACACTTACAGTCTTCTACTCACTATACATACCGTGCACCTGATCTGATCTGAGCATCCCATCGGCTGAATCGGCGATTCCCGATCGAGAATCTCCCATGGATTCCTTCAGGAGGTTCTCTGGCCGTCGATTCCCTTCTGATACCTTTACTACTACTGCTGCTGCTGCTTCCTCTACCTGCTGCTGCTGGTGGCTCGTCTTGACCCATGAAACTACGCGTTCCCCCACGACCAGCAGGAGCTCCAGAGCTCCGCCTGCAAATTATTTTATCCCCTTCCTTTTCGTGTGGGGACAAAAGCCGAACTGCTTCCGTCTTACACTTCCACCTGCTCCGTTCCAATGGAAATTCTGAACTGCCATTCAGACAGTTCGAGTCAAGCGCAGAGATGACTTTCCAGTTGGTGCCTAAGTTTGGGTCTAATCCTACGCATTTTGTGCTAATCTGCGCTTTCATGAGGTGGGAGGCGGTGATGAGCTCGCGGAGTGCTCCCTTGGTTCTGGGAGGAGACCTATGGCTGGCTGCGTGTGGGTCGATTTCCACCAGAAACGAAGGATGCATTTTTAGAGAGTTGCAGTGTGCTCTCCTTTTTTTGGGATGCATGACTTTCAGATAAGTTCGACGAGTGGTACAAGCCCTTCTTTGTCCAGTGACGACTGGGCCATACATATGTCGTCAAACGCGTTGACGTGTCCCTGAAGTTTGAGATGGGTTTCGTCCACAATCCTTGTCATGAAAATATTTTCCAATTGGAGGGTGATGAATAAATCTTCTAGGAGCTACGAGGTTTGGGGTCATCTTCGGCCAAACTGGATGGAAAAATCTATGAGGATACGGTGCCTCATTGACTGGAGAAACATCATATGACGTTAGACGATAAGGAGACACGAGTAGCATGATTTTCGGTGCATGTCGCAATATTCTAGAAGCAAATTACAATTGATCGACAAGGTATGACTTGGCATGTCATGCCGGTCAATGAGGCGTTCTCGATGTTGGAAGGCTATGAATGCTCCAGGATTAGAGTGAGTTCTTTTGGTTTTGGTAAGAGAACAAGCCGAGACGAGCTGAGCTGCATGCCACTGCACCATTGCCCAACAAGTCTCAAAGATTCCGGGCAACAATGTTTGTGAGCAGTGCGTGCAAGTATAGCGTCACAGCGTTGTTGTGTTGCTCCACAAATGACAAAAGAGGCAGCATACAGCCTGCAAGTAGTCCAAGCAGTCCCCTTTGATCGAATCCAAGAGCGAGAGTGAAGTGGAGTGGACTGGAGAGGAGTATAATGGAATGGATTGGAAAGTGATTAGTTGCCACAAAAGGCGGTGATTGAAGCATGTAAGCTACCAACAGGACAAGACCACGACGAGTTCTTTGACATTCTTCTTCTTCATCTCATCCTCCCGAAATTCAAGCTTTTAGGAACACTTGCACTTGGGGATGCTGTTCTCCTTTACAGCCCGTGTTGCTTGATTGATCAAGTTGGTCGGTTTGCATCCATCAATGATATACCTTGTTTGTAACGACCAGTGATTTGATCCTCCGAATACTTCTGAAAGGCGGGAATTGAACATTCAGTGGATTTGTGCTTTCATCACGGTATTATCTAAACGATAGCCTCGGAAAACCAAAGCGTGTAAAACGTTTGAAAAGTCTTGATTGATTTTATACGACTTAGATTGAGAATTTTTTTGAAGGGCAAATCCCGAAGTATCAACCTCACCTTCCTTGTTCTCTTCGTACTTCATTTGGACGTGCTTGCATGCCTGCGGATCGGAACATGCATTGAACATGAAAATCATGGTACGATCGAAAGGATGGGATAATTTTACCTTCAATCTGCCTCAATCACTAATGTGTTTTATTCCTTAACTTTCTAAAACAATCATAAAAGACCATACCAGTACTAAAAAGTTTTCAGAAGTAATACTTCCCTGTATTCAGAAGCAAAAATATAAATTAAATTAAGTAGTATTGAGGTCTATTATTCCCGATGTGATATAACGTAAATCATAAAATTCGATTAGGAATATAACGTCCGGAAATTGAAGTAATCCGTTTTTGGCTTTCATGCTTGTGCCTAGAATATAAAGACTGGATGATAAGAGGACAGATATTTCACAAACAGAGTAGCAGATGTGTTTCTGAAAAGTGCGATGAATTTCAGTTCATTTCCACTGGAAAATAAAACATCATTAGACTGAATCTAAGAAAGTCATGATAGCCAATCAACAAGAAACCCTTTCAAGAAAATACATCACATCATATCGAACAAGAAAAATATAACTGTTACTCACTAAATTTCGTTCCTCATTAAGAGGTCTTATGATAATTGTGTTGTAGACCCCGATATAATCATGGTTGTCTATAATCGTGTAAGTAATCATATTTTCAAGTGGAGCAGGTGATCATCTCAGTGTCCCACAAACTCCCACTTTTATGGCTTACAGTTGGAAAAACACGCTGCCTCCCAAGATAGTTGCGAACAAATAAAGTACAATGCTGTAAGTACTCATTGGACAAAGGGATGGACGCTGGTCACAATCCAAGGAACTCTGTTTTTTTTCCTTACCACTTACTTTTTTACCCACAGTGGTCCCCACTCCCACTGTTCTGGAGGGAAAGCGCTCAAAGGACTGATCATCGAGTTATGGGAGACACCAGGCTAAACCAGCGAGGTCCCATATTCCCAGGCCCATGTAATATGTTATGTCTCGTTATTCATCGCTTTGATAGATCCATCATCGATGGAATTAGGTTCTCCTGAATTTCAATCTACAATGATAAGAGAAACGCTAATCATATGCGACAATATCCCAAGGTCCTCGAGGAGTCTCCCACCCTTTCTGCAAGCAACAATGGTCCATGTCATCATCGCCGAAATTTGATGGATAGTTCACGAAATAAGCGCTCCCATCTAAGAAGAATACGACACAAGCGTGTAGAGAGATATATTTTCGTGCTCCTCCAGTTCTCCTCACTCTGGGAATGAGAACTGGAACATGAACAGGGAAGCGCTGTACAGCATAAATTGTAGTATATGCGAGGCTGGCAAAACCACCAGGCAGGCCACTGGAAATGTTGCTGGATTTGAAGCAACGGTCTAGACGGTATCATCCGGCTTCATACGAGGAGTTTATTTGCATGTGTTGTGTACTGCAATCAGAGGCTACACCTTACATGCAAAGGCTTAGTGTCCTTGAGTCTGATGACATGTCATAGCATTCTGCTGTGAATAGAGCAGCAGAGTATGACATGGCAGTCCACACTTTAGCGTCCAGTTCGTTATTTGCACGTTGGCTTCGTACGGCGATTATTTATTAATTTATTTTCCTTAACCGCGATATCTGTCATACCCTTATCGTAATATGTCCGTTTCTTTTCAAATATTTGAAAGGGATACTTCGCTGAAGAGGTACGTCGCTGAGTCTAACTCTTGATCTCTCTCTCTCTCTCCCATGAAATTCATCATGTTGGGTCATCCTTGTGTTCACCTCCTCAAATACCAACGTATCCAATTTCAAAAGTTTGAATATCAAATAGTACTGTAATAGAAGCAGATTGGAACAAGGATAGTTTGTTGTCGTTCTATGATTCTGACTTGTCATCGTCTACATTCAGAGTTGGAGAAGCATAATTGGTTTCCTTATTTAAAAGTTAGATGCATAGCTTAGACTCTGACAAGTGAATCTGAATTATCATACGGACTTTACAAATTGCGACTATACCTTCATGATATATCTAGTTACTCCAACACGGGACACAATTTACTCCAAAATTGGCTCCTTGTGATACTCTTTCAGGAAATATCTCTATATTTCATCAATCTCATGCTATGGAAATAAGTTAGACTGAAAGAACAAGGGAAATATTTATTGATATCTCTCTGGAATTAAATTATTGGTTGCTTTACTATGGCCGGTAGCATAGTATTGAGTTCTTCAGTGACAATCCATAAAGCACTCAAATTTGAGAAGGTATAAGTGCAAAGGATTTTGATGCAATCCTGGTGACTAAGTTATTCCGTACATCGAGAACTAAAGAAGAAGACTCCATCTAGAAACTACTCTTGTGATTAGATGGCTATACCGCATTGGTGCGTTCTGTTCAAGGGAGCCATCGTAATATAGCCTCGTGCCTTCGACGCCAAGACGCATCGGAAATATAAACAAGTTGGTAACCATATCTATTCAGTGATACATTTATACCCCAAGTATAATGTACTTCACCTAAAGCCCCCTTTCTACAGAAGAAAAAACCTGGAAACTTCTTTCGATAGATCCTGTCATAAGATTAGTAATCACCACTCTTAGATTGACACTCAATAGTTTCTCATATTTTCTAATTGATAGAGTTTGGTAGAGCAAGACCCCACTGGAACAGGTGAATTTCCTCTCCTTCATAGTCGGCAGCTTCGTCTTTTGTATCGTTTCCAGCAATGACATCTTTCCTTGCTCTCCACTCCACTCCATATGCTGAATCACAAGAAACCCAATTGATGCCAATGGCACAGCACGGCTACCAGCAACTACAGTAGTAGGAGTCTCAAGACATATTCGCGTCAGATATACATGGTCCACAGTACTGCACCATGATTTATTTAGTGATATACAACAGCAGGACTAAGGTGTAATTTAGAAAGCTACTAGAGAATAACCCAACGGAAGTACATCGTGATGAGCTCAGTACTCTCGTGTTGATTCAAACTTATACTATGTTATTCCTTTTAAGACTGGTATGGAGCCATCCATCATTGGTCAGCCAATTTTTTTTATAAGCACATTAGACCCCTTCCCGCTACTTACTGGAGATAAACCAAATATTAGAACCCAAAATATGTTACAATCTTCTACGATAGTCTTATCCAGTTTCTGTGACCTCCGAAATGCACATATACTGCACCTGCCCGGGGCGTGGGACTCTCAACGGTCGTGGGTGCTTCCGCCCCGCCTTCTTCTTGTGGGACGTGTGATATGGACACAGTAGAACTGGGCTCGGAATTTTCCAGGAGACAACTTTTAGCACTTCTCGTTGACTGACTGGAATCGGGGGAAGACTTGCGAGTACTGAAGGTCCCAGTGCTGTGAAGCAACTTATTGCCACGGACGGGTACATGAGGAGAGTGGTTGAGAATCCGTTCCACCTCAATCCATGAAAGGAACAAAAAGACAACGATTCTGTCCACGTATAGAGAGAGAGTTAGAGAGAGAGGGAGAAGCATGTTGTAATAAACAGTGGGAAATGGAAGTGTGCTATTGCAGTGGCATCTGTTCTGCTTTATGTTTGCTTTCCAATTCTCCACCGAAATGATAAAATTAAAAGAACACTAGAATCTCTCCTCAAATCCGCCTCTTATTTTCCTGCAATCTCGAGCCATGCCATGCAGTCCCTTTGCTTTGCAATCATCTTTCCAGGAAGCTTCACAGATGGTCCAAGGGACCGAGAAGAAGGTGCGTCTTTATTCAACTCAGGTGGGCACATTTTTCTGCTCTTCGCCTTTTTCGGTCGATGAGGAGGCTCGCGCAGTGCCTTGAACGAGAAACCTTGGCTGGATGGCTGCCGCTTTCCTACAAAGGTTAGACCTGAGGTTTGGTTGCCACCATGGCCAGTCTTGTCGCCTGAGACACACCCCAGCCCCAGCCCCAGCAGCGCCAGCGCCTACGGTTTTGTTCGTGAGTCGTGACCGCGCCATGTCCGGTCCCGGTGCCTTTTTGGGGCGTAGAGGACGATCACAGGCCCACAGCTTTCAATGGCATTCCATAACTCTCGCAGTCGACTTTCCACACGGGGACCATTACCACCGAATCGAAACTGCAATCAAAGTGAGTGAAAGTGAAACGACGCAAACCGAGCACTATCGAGATTCCACGCCATGCCATGTACGATCCTCTATTGCTTTCTAGTCGGAATACGATTGGCATACGAGGGAGAGAGCGAGCGCTAGAGAGGTTAAGCCTCTTTGCTGCAGGAGTTGCATGCTCCGTCGAAAGTGCTCGCTCCGAGTCGGAGTAGCCGACGAGGAGGGTCCCGGGGGAGAGCGAGGGAGGAGGCCTACAAATCAAGGGTTTTGTTGGTTTGTTTGAGTGGAAAAGCAAAGCACTCACTGTGGTGGTGGGGGCACAGCGTCCTGTCGGGCATGCACACTGTCATACTTTTCACATGCGAAGGTCGATAGACCGATAGATGCATAAATCGAAGGATAGATATACAAGCCTAGTAATGAACTTTAGCGTAGCTCTTAGGCTCTGGTCGGTCGCTTAGTACTGGCATGTTGGAGTCGAGAAACTGCGTGCACTTGACAACTCTGTAAAAGTGAGTCCCAGAGAGAGAGCGAGAGAGAGAGGCGAGAGAGTGGAGACAAAAGATGCGGCCCAAAGCAACAAAGCGAGCGGGATCTCGACACCGATTTCCACAAGTGGGTTTCATGAATGAAAACGCTTGGGCTTGTGCTGGAGTCATGACTAAACTGAATCTACATCTAAAACTAGACGACTGCTCTGCACTTGCACAGCACTACAGAAAGTGTACAGTGCGTTTGCGTCTTTTTTAAGTAGTGCTGCTGTTCTAGGGCTTCGATAAGATTTCCTGATTTCGACGCCTTGTCTTTTACCTTCCAGCTTGCAGATCAATGAACGTGACTAGTCGACTGGCACAAGATGAGCTCATAATCTCCAGCCTCTGCCCAGGAGATTCATGGCCTAGGACCCAAGGACAGAGGGTTGGTAAAAACTGCTACAAAAGTTAGTGAGTAGCTGAGTTTCACTAACAGGAGAAGGCCTCTTCTTCTTCCAATTCCATGTGGAGTCTATAGTGCCTTGTGTCTGCTCGGCAGTCGTCCCCTCCCCATCCTTTGTCTTCTCGCGCTCTCTTTTCCTTCGGTGATCACATCACGCTCGGCTGGATGACATGTGCATACAACGGTGCCTGCGTAGGGATCCAACGTACCCTTGTACCCGAGACCTGCATACCGCTACTTGCCCATTGGAAATTGCTAAACGCACGGACCGCTAGGCTTCCTGTTGCTTCAATGTTCGATTCCGTTCGCTCAAAGCATAGAAATCGATGCTGTCACACCCAAGTTACCGGGCAACAGTGTGCCTAGTGAGACAAAAGTATGTTATCGACTGACAAAGCATGAGAAAAGAGCATCTTTCTAGACCACAGATGAATGAACGCTAATTACGGATAATTTAAGGCCCCGGCTTTCAACGAATCCCGTGCCGGATTTTGCTGATTGTGTACAACAATTAAGCTGCTATACTGTGCAAACGATAAATATTTAGGAAAGACGGACCAAGACGAAAGTTGTTTAAAAGACACAGTGCTTCGGAACGAACGTAGGTGTCAGTGATTCAAATTTCATCCTTGGACATTAAGAACAGCCCGACGGACAGTGGTAGTGGGGAAGTCTTCGAGACAACAGAGTATGTACTAACTGAATTTGGAAGTTTGCTGGTGTCTTCCCCTCTACTCCAGCTCCGAGTCAGTTCGAAGGACGAAGTCAAGGTTGCATAAGTCTGGGCATTGAAATTGAGGCCAGATGACCAGGAACCAACTCTCGAAGTGCTCTTAACGCAAAAACATTATTCAAGTACCGATACACGTCAAGGATCAACATCCTCCTTAAACTGCATACAATTAACTAAATTGCATAAAAAGTGCAAACTAGCTCTGGCCTTCAGGAAATATGATGGACACGCGTGCTTCACTGGACCTGCTAAAATCTTCAGACCAGCACACAACATGTGAGTCCATGACCTTCAAAGACTTCTGGTTAGAAGAAAGCCGGCTCTGAAGATCGTCCGTCCACATAGCAGACTAGCATATGCAGAAGAACACGTTTAAGACTTAGACGACGAATTTATTTCTGAAACCATTGCCCACTTCCGGGTCTTCGTGCCGTATGTTGATCAATCCAGTCCAATCGGTTCACTTCCGACTACGCACACCTTATGTGAGCAAGGAACCAGTGATGATAAGTTAAAAGTTGGAACGCCTCCAGTTCCTGGTTTACTTCAGAATCGATTTGGAAAGCTCAGTGTAGAACTGAGTTGATAAATATTTATTCCTTTCGCGGTGACCTACGGTCTTCTACTTGTACTGACTACCTTCTCATGCAGTATCACGAAGGAGAAGTAGAGACATTCTAAGTCTATGTCTTTTTCTCAATGGTTGAGAGGAATTTACAGTAATAGCATGTTATAAACAATGGACAAATCAAAAGGAAGCTTCTAATGATAGCGAATAACCTGTAGATTTCTGTGAAGTGTTTCTATGTCTAAGGGAACCTTGATACCTGTAGGTACAGAAGACTATCTAAAATGTACAGATGCAATTGAGATCAGAAACAGTTCCCAAAGGCCGGCAGCCAGATAGTGCTATTTTGACGAAATGTGAGCATACGGCAACTAACCACAGACGAGGTCCCTAGACCAATCATGCGGAGTATTAGCTGAAGCCAACGGTAGTATGTCCACGTTCATGTGATCATGCCCAAGATCCGCTTTGAATATATCCCAGTACGCATCGTTGCGCGAGGCTTACCACTCTTTAATCATGCCCAAGTTGTTACCAGGCCGAGATACCCGGTGTTTCTTCAGGTTCCTTAAAAGTTGCATATTTCGGCGTGTACCTAGAAGTGTGTGCGAAGCCCCAAAGCTGCATGAGACATACCGTACGATTCAGTCCAGATCAAATATAAAAGATTGAAAGAAGGCCGACATGGTAAGGTGTTTTTCAAGAGTATTGAAGGACCGAAGCGCATGAAGTGATCCCTTAACTAATGGCTTTTGGACGGACAACGATTTTGAGCTCAAACCTTACACCTCTGTTCTAAGTTTCAATTTTGAGAAACATAAGGAGAAGGTGAAATAGAGTCGCACCTCTACATCCTTCAATACAAAGTCTTCTGTTGTAGCTAGACATGGGTTGCCAAACGTCTCACAATTGGCGCTTGTCCCGTTCAACCTTGAGGATAAAACCAGTGAAGCCTAGTCAGTCAAGTATTGATGTCAATGCTGACGGAGGCCAGGCCGCATAACACTTGCAGGAGATACGTACACCAAGAGGAAACCTTGGGCACGCCACAAATATAAGCGTCTAAAACAGAATCCACGTTACAAACACCTTGGTTCAAATCTCTTGAAAGGAACCAACACTCACAATTCTGCGTCTAGATATAATGCGAAGTGACCACCGCCACCAAACGCGATCGCGTCGTCCGTACAAAGCACGTAGTATCGATTGCTACCTGTGTACATCCAGTTCATGATATTAACGTAGTTCACCTCATGCCCTACGTGAAAAGTGGTCTTTAACCGAGCAACAGGTATGCAATATGCTTCTAGATCATGCTGTCTATTAAGTGACAAGATCAACGCCGAAATGAAAGACAGTGGTTGTTCCAATCACCTGTGGAGCGATAGACTTTCGGCTCCCCGGCGACGTTGGTGAAGACGAAGGATTCGTTTGTTCCCTGCGCACAAGGTTTCATTAAAGATATAATGTGCTTACAACGTTTGCCCACCATGAATGAAATCCTGAAAGGGGAGCACCATAATTGTGCTCTTCTTCGAACGACAACTGCAAGCGTGATACTAAAGAATTTCGAGGAGGAAAGGCGATAAGTCAAGCTAGGAAACCCACACACAAATTGATCACCTGGATTCAAGCCTGAAAACTTCGTGCCTATGATTCTTGACGAGATGTAAGTACCTGATACTTTTGCTTGAGTGTTGGTTTCAGGGGCGATGATAATAACCCACCAAAGACTGCACCTAGCCTGTCCCCAGCTATCTGCACAGCGTAGCACGAGAAAACTATTGAGTATATGTTGGTAAATTCCATCTGAAACCTACAAACACCGGGGAAAATAATGTCAAAACATCCTTAAGCACGGCCATCCCGTTGAATGTTTACAACTCTAGCACAGCTGCCTGCGGGTATCCAACCGTTCAACATTACTTTTTGAATTCTTAATGTACTATCAAGAATAGGCTCTTCTCAGCGATCCAGGGAGAAACTGAGACCTGTTACGACTAATCATTTTCTCCAGGTTGAGTACTACCAGAAAGAGCTATTAAACAACCACACCTCATACCAATCAGGCACCACTCATGCTATTGAAAGTATTCAATAGCTCCCTTTGCGACAAAAGGAGGTCTGAGTAGGTCTCTTGCCCCATCTAAATTCACTTGCTGCAAATGCGAACTTAAGAATCAACTATACGAGCTTACCAGCAAGCAAGGACCTGGAATTATGGCCGCCTTTCGGTACAGAGTGCGCAGCGAGATCCCATGCTTTATAGTACTGCACTCAATAGAGGAACGTCGTTGTCACTGGCCCATCGCGTCTACAGGAGTTTCAATTCGGAAGTTGCAAACCGCAGCTGACCAGCAAGAGCGGATGCGACTGACAAACATTCCCTCGACTCGTAGAGTTACCACTGTTAAAGTTCCCGGTAACCGCTTGCGGCATTATAAGAAAAATTGAAAGTAATACACCGTATCAACTGCCTGGAAGTTTTCAGCCAACAACAGACTACATAATCGTCACAAGTTGTCTTTCAGACAGGTAACGTGGCAAATTCCGACAGCTGCTGATGAATAACTTCAGGCTTCATACCTGTACAAAAGAACCCATTGACGTCCAAGGGCCAAGGTTGGAAGGGCCGAATACACCACAGTCCGAAGGGTCTCAGGGATCAGTGAAGACTCCTCAGACATGTCTGGCAATATCACGTGCTTTGATGGTGACTCAGGAGCGGAAAGTTGACCGGCTGCATCTTGGGCAGATTTGGAGACTGCCACATCTGTCTCTGACACAAGCTGCCATTCGGCATCAGGATCGTCTCCAACAGGAGTAGGTGTATCTCCCTTCCCATCCTTCTCATTGACGCCCTCTAGTAATTCCTCTCCACTCTGTGGATCTACAGTGGTCACAATTTTGTTGTCGCCTTCACGTCTACTTCGTACAGCTCTGTTCTGAGAACTAGTAGCACTTTCCTGTTCGTCACTCCCGGTCGTTTCTTCATTCGACTGATCATTCTTATATTTACTACTTGATTCTGTACATGAAAGTAAAGATAATAGGAAGGCAGTCAACGATGATGTATCTGGCCCTCGAAAGTCGTCCTTGGACTCCTTGGTCTGTGGCGGGGTCGGCGTCGTTGTCTTCCGCTTGTATTTCCCCACGCACATAGTCCGAGCTTCATCCTGCAGATTACAAACTGTATTCAAAATCGCTTCTAGACAGCTACACTTCTCATGCCATCGATGACATATCGTCTCTATCGTCCACGTATGTCGCTACAATAAGGAATTATCTCTATCAGTCTCCATGTCGGTTCAAATCAAATCTTAAAAACTTTTAAACCATAAGTAGGGTGGATTCGAATGCTTGCTCCCAAGATCGCACGGCAATTTGCTGACATTCCAGCATCTGTTCATATTTGCCAAAAAAAAAATCAAGGTATCCCACAATATACGCCTTTTCAAACAGTTTAAGTCTAAGATCATATTTACGGTTTTTGCCCAAACCTATGGCGATGAGACCTAAATTGCAATGTCAAGTTGAAAGCAGAACCTGTTCTCTTACAAAGATAGCAGATCCGTTAAGACAGGGACAGGTATCCTACACATACGAAACTGAGAAATCGGGCTCGGTTGATACACAGAAGCGGGGACTTTACAGGATGACAGAGCTTCGTTTGACCACGAGCGTATTTGCTCTGCTGAAGACTGTCTGTGTCTCATAATTCCTCCTGTCTTCTCTCATTGCAGGAGAATTTGTTTTAGGATCTGTAATGACGTCTCACTGACACAAGATAAACAGGGTACGGATGGGGAGCAAATCTGAGGTCTAGTAGAAAGAGACCAGAGTACTCTAAGATCGTGAAGACCTCTGCGAACGTGGACAAAAATCTCTCTCTGTGCCAAAATACAAAGACATGCGTGATACATATGCCAAAAGGTGCCAGCCAACTGTCGTTACCAGTAGCGGTTTTCCAAGCGAATCACCCCTCCCAATTCTTCTCCAGCACATCTACACATGGATACATAATGGTTCATTCGATTACGACGTGTGATCTCCGACCCGAAACAAGAGAACGATCGGAACGAACTTGAACATAACACAGCACAACACCAAATGAAATAAATACTCGCAAATCCCGTCAATTATCCAACACGTCATAGAAAGAAGAAGAAAGGCATGGAAAAGTCCTCACAGCACACACAAAAAACGGAATTCGAGACAGAAACTGACCCAGAAACTCGACCCCATTTTCCACCACCACCCTTTGTCCTCCCCGTCCCAATACTGTGAGTCAGATTCCCTGTACGCTGTGTGCATCCCGTCTGATCCAAATTGCATCCAAATTGTACCCCAATTGTGTCCCAATTGTCCGGTCCTAGCAACAAAAGCTCCTCACATCATGTTCGTCGGAAGAAGAACGGGCACTCGGATCATCAAATTGCCCGTCCATGAACGGGATCATAGTTTAGAAGCTCCGGAAGGGGACGTGATCCCAGCTCCACTTCCACTACAAAACTCAACGGCGCGCACAATTTTGCCCCGACTGATGGCTCTGAGACCATCTTGTTTCCACGATCCTCCCTGTCTGTATATCTCTCTCAACTCAACAGCAAATTCTCTAGGGCTTCTTCTCCTTCTTGTTGCTTCAGACCCAATTCTCCCTATCGTTAACAAACCTGAAACCTGTTCGAAACAACCCAGACTGGCAAAATCCTAAGAAACAAACTATCAAACTCGATTGTGAGAATGGAAGAAGCAGAACGGACGAGATTGGAGGCAGAGGAATGAGAAAAGACGAAGAGATTTGGCATGTACACAGAAGAAAGGGATCAAGAAGAAGAATAGGAAGACGACACGACGAAGACGAGACGCTCCCAGCTCAAGGAACCGGAAGCAGAGACTTTGAACGGAGAGTCAGTCCGTCCGTCCGTCCGTCCGTCCTTGCTGGCCCTGCTGGCGCGCTTGGGCCGCAGGGCGGGGCTTATGGAGGAATTCTGGATTCAAGAGGGTGTGCTGGATCGAGCTGATTCACTGACAGTGGTCACTCGTGGTCATCATGCACGCATTCCAGCTCGGCGTGTGTCCATCCAGTCAGCAGTCCCTCCTCCTCTCCCAGACGTACGTCCGTCCGTCCGGGAGCCGAGCGGGGACTGCAGACTTGATGAACGCCTACTACATGGCCATATTTGTCCAGGCCTCCATTCACACCGCCTTGACCTCGGTTCGACATCGTTCATGTCCTTTGCATGTCTCCATCCTCACTCTTCGTCGAAAATTATAGAAGCAGTTGGTGACGAATTTGTCTTCGAATTTCATGCGACCAAACCCCTACCTCCAAAATAGATGACTTCAGGGCCACCGATTGGGCACAACTGTTTATGGTTATGGATGGCAAATTGGTGAAAGTGGCAGGGCAAAGCTGTACCACCTTTGTTTCGTGTGATGGCATTGGGATCATGGGCCCGGTGGAGACTCATGCAGGCAACGGGAAACAGCAGCGGTGTTCATATTTTCATGTGCTCATCGATGACTTTGGATTTAGGAGCTTGCGGGCAGGTATATTCTTTTCCGTCTCGTCTAAGGCAATGGAGATGACATGGAGGACTGTTCTTCAGGTGAAAGGAAAGCTAGGAACAACAGCACATCTTGCGTTGGGGTCTTAATCTGTATGTGCCATCTTTACCTTCGGCCAGACCGCAATTAAACCAAATATAAACTGTAGTGATATCGGACTAAATTTACTAGAATTTTATTTCTTTAATCAAAATCAACAAAATAAAACGAGCTGTTTGCAATGGACCCGGATAAAAATTTTACTACACATCTTTACTGTATCAGAGCTAAAAAAGTTGGTAAATCTGGCACCCTCTGTCCAGAACCGGCTGTATAGCACCATAATATGTAGGCAATAAACTCCTCTGTCTATCTTTTGCAACATGTTGAGACAATAATATTCTCAGAATTTTGGAATAGAGTCTTTTAAAGAGCGACCATGTCTAAGTAGAGAATTAACTATAAAATTACAGTCCATCTCTTCACATTTAGGTCTTTCCTGCTTATCTTGAAGATCCCTAATGCTCTCTTGGATTCTCTTTGCATCTCTTGGGTCATTCCAATTGTCGCTTTCTGTTCCTTCGGATCTGTGTATAGTTGCTAGGAAATCTTGCCAACGTGGAGCAAATCTGTTACTTGATGTTCAAGAGTCACGATCCTTTCGATGCATTTGACGACTATTTGTTTGGATTCCCTCATCTCTTCCTTCTTGCCTAAGGCAGACTGTGAGCTTTCAAATACTTTAAAATAGCTAAGAATGGAGGGAGCAAACATTCACATTCCATCCCAACTGTTTCATTATCTTGTGAATCAGATATGCGATTCGTTGCATGAGAGAATAAAAAAATTTGCGTTCTTCTTTTCTGACATCTTCCGTTTTTTAAAGTGATATGCATTTTATGTCACATTCACTAATCATATCATCTGCATTTTTAAAAATTTGTACTTTATTTTACTTCAATATGTTCATACTGTTTCGATCAAGGTTTGGAAGTCATATCTTGACTGGGTTAAAATAAGGATCCACAAGTTGTGTATCATTATATGTCTAGAATGACTTGCAATTACAAATGTACAAAATCAGCAGCATGTCTTTTCAAATTCAAAAACCGTGCCGGAAATCTGGTCCTTCATGATTGAAGAAAAGAAAAGATAATTTACCTTGCTTTGGGAGCTTCAGAAAATATTCATATTTTAGAAAATTCTGTATGACAACTGAATCCTTTGCACTTTCTATTTCTGTTTAAATGCGATGCTCAAACGTTGCTCAAAAAGTGGCACTTGGCTTCCTCTTCCTATGGTTGAGTGTCACGGTTCCGCGTCTGCTAGTCAAAAAACGCATCTTCAATCCATAGAAATATAAAAGTCTTTTGGTATCCTCACTGCTTTCATTTCAACAAAGAAGTCCAAATCAAAAAACATCATCTCCAAAAAGATGTAAACATGAGTTTCATTACAATCAGGTAATACACCCGTATTTTTTTCACAGAAAAACTTAATGGATATGTACTAGACGTGATGTGATAGTCAGAGGAATTTACTATATTTTGAAACGATTTTGTTACTTTAAATTAAATATTCAACAACTGCTACTAGATTTCACCTGAGAGTGCATGGCATGAAAAAAAAATTCATCTTGTAGTCATAGATCTCACTACAATATGGAATTATTTTCCAATAGAACATGGGGACTAATTACAACATTCTTGACGAATCATTTCACTATATTTTAATTGGCTTTTTTGTTAAAGTCTTGTGAGGAAGCATGTGCTCGAATCTCATTTTGAATATTCTGGCGTGTAAAGTGACTCGCACATCAGCTATATTGTCTAACACTTTCGCTGATTCCAGTTGACAATCTATGCTAATTCAGCTTGGTGTGAAACTAAAAGATACTTAGAAGCTGATTGCGTTCAAGAGTATTCCGCATAAGATGAATGTACAAGACATTGTCTTTGAACTGAAATATGTGTTAAAACATGAAATGCATCAATGAATAAATGAAAAAAGATGCATTTGAATAAAACGATCATGTTACAAAAATTTCTTCAAAAAGAAAACCTGTATAATCTTATGATGCATGGTAACACACAAACACAATGCAAGAAGTTTATTGCAAAAGTAATTCATACCATGAAGGAGAAAAAAGATAATAATTGAGATATGAATAGCTCCTAAGTATCTAACACAACCAAAAAAGTTTTCTAGAGTTTTCCAATTTTTATCATAGATTTGCAATAAATTTTGAATCAAACTTGAACCTGGTTTTTTTTCCACAGATTCATTTTACGGATATAAAATTAAGTGAAATTACAATACAAATTGATCAAAAATCGTTTTTTTTAAATATACAAACAAATTATCTAAAAATATATAAATATGTCACTGATTATAATTATTTAATGTGATCAAACCAATCATTCACTTATTGATAATTTTATACAATATTATACATAAAGTTATATAATATTTATATAATAGAATACACAAAAAATAGACCAAAAAAATCAAACGCAACACAAGAATCAACAAAAAAAATTATGTGATCTTGCCCATCTTGAACTACGTCCATGGGATAACAAATTCTATACTCAAAGAACACACAATTGTTTAAGGTGATATGTGTGTTGCACTTTCAAATATAACTAATATATTGCAATCAATGCACATACAAGACAAATTGTAACATACTTTGCTATACATGAGAAAAATTTGTTATTGTCCAAACCTTTCTTTTATGTGAAACCTTTAGCCATCAACCTGACTTTGACTATCATTCTCTAGTTAATTTTCAAATTGTCAAAAATCATACAATCGATCAAAGCTTGATGATTAGGAAGCTCAACTAGATTTTAGATTTTATTATCAATCAATGATTGCATCTCTCGTCTTATAGCAACAATCCACTAAAAACTTATGAACAGAGGTTTGAACTTATCTTTAAGAAGAAGGTTTTACTTCTTTCAAGATCAACGCAATGTCATCACTATCATTTATGTAAATATCACAATTTTCAAGAATGTATGAAATCAGTCCATAATCCATACCTTGTAGTAGCTTTATTGATTTGATTCAATAATCTCTTGGTAGAAGATTCTAGCTGATATTTTTTAATCTGGTGCAGATGTTTGAGTCTTACCAATGATAACATACTCTCTAATTCTTGTTTTTGGGAAATTTGCTCCATCAATATATGAGCTTCTCCTTGTATCACATCATTAACATAATGATCAATCTTCCTTTCAATAACATTAGTGAATGGAGATTTTTCCTTGTCAGTATGGAGAATGGGGAACCTGAGAACTCACTTATTCTTTTAAGGATTTAGGTTCCTTGAAAAAAACATCTCATTGACAATAACTGTACATGCTACTAGATTGCATAGCTTATGATCCTTAACATCAATTGCATATGCAAGAAAACGACACTTTTTGGAAGTAAAATCTAACTTGGTACTATTTTCCTTATGTATGAGAGTATATGCAATATAATCAAAAATTCTCAAAAGATTATGATCAATCATACATTTGTGCCCAAGTTCAAACGATGTCAAAAAATTGATTGCATTAGTAGAAGATAAATTTACCAAATACACTATGATATTGACAACTTGAGTCCAAATTCAAACTCAAAAACTAAAGTTGCTCAAAATATTAGACATTTTCTCCAACACTGTTTGATTGAATGTTGTATCTGATTGAACCTTTCAGATTCAACATTCTATTGTGAAGTATAATCCGTGATAAGATTACAAGTAATCATCTTCTCTTTGAAGTAACTCTAAAATTCCAGAAAAACATACTCTCTCGTCATTATTTGGCTGGAAATCTGTCACGTTCTATCCAATTTGAATCTTAGCTTTCCAACTCTTAAAGTTTGTAAACACCTCAAACTTGTGTGTGAGTAGATAAATTCACACTAACCTTGAGTAATCATGAATAAAAGATACATAGAAAAATGTTTCAGACTGTGAGGTTTTTGAAGGGGGTATCTCCGTACATACTTGTAACAGAGAGTTCCAACACCAAAGTCTTACCTATGTTGCTCTGACATCAGGTAGCATTTTTGAACAAGTTTTTTTTTTTTTACTCAATTTTTTGCCCCACATTAATTATAAAATATCAACATCTTTGGTTCTCACCGGCAATTATTCTTGACGTGATCTTGTCACATTTTCAACATCCATTTGTTTTTTCTCTAGGAATTTACTCCTAGACTTGGTTTCTTTAGATCGTGTGCGTGCTGATATACTTCAGCTTCAGTGCAGAAGCATGAGCTTCCGATGCGTACGTCCTCACTGTAATATTTGTCGAGAATCCATGCTGCATTACTCTGTGCAACTTTGTAGCCAAGTTCAGCTGCCCTCAAATAGAGCAGCAAGGTTGTTCTATTTTTCTGTTCACATAACATTCTAAAGTTCATATCAAGAGTGATACCTTTGGACCCCTTTCAGCCATCAACATATAAAACTCCACCGCTGTAGCTTTGTCTTTCTTTCTCCCATAGCCCTTTTGTTGCATTTTTGCAAGCTGATACAATGACTTCGGATGCCGTAATCTACTAATTATCACAGCTAGCATAAAGTGCATACGGGCTTTTCTGCCATCTTGTTCAGTTCCAAATCTCTCAAATAGAACATTCCCAGGTTGTACAATCCATCTGGATCATTAGCATCGGCTACCTTTTAGAAATACTCTGGTGCCTTTGTGAGGTTCTTTTTTTCGACTTCCAAACCTTTGGCATATAACCATCCGATTCCATTGTTGGCAAAATGTTGCTTGCGACGGTTTGTCTCAACAACCCACTTTAGTGCTTCCAGTCAAAAGTCGTGGGCTCCACAATTTGATATAAATGCAGCTGCGTAGTCATCTTCAATTTTTCTTAAGACCGGTGACATTAGGTCTTAAGAAAACAATCAAAGGGTACTTCCGATTCAAGACTTGCTTTTATCACAACATCATACTACCTCTTGCGAGCGCTTCTAAGGTCACTTTTTATGTAATAAGATGGTTCAATATAATCGTGTTACTGCGTACAAGATTTCATTGAATGCAAAAAATGACAGACGTCCTTCAATCTCAGATATGTTCATAAGCATAGTATGAATTTGCCAATTTGTCTCCAAGTAGGCTAACTCGAGACTTAATCTTAACAATCTTCCCCTAAATTATGTCTGTGAGTGGAAAATTTTCTTAGTAGGGAAAGCTTGAGAACTTGGCTCTTATACCAATTTTCAGATAAAACACAAGAATCAACAACAACAAAAATACATGGTTCACCCAACCTTGGGCTACACGGAACAACAAGTCTTTTATTCAAATAACACACAATTGTTCGAGGCGAGATGTGTCTCGCATTGCTATATGTAAGTGCTAGTAGGAGCCTTAGGATTTACTCTTACTAGAGTAACCAACCTTAGTCCTCACTCGAGTTAGGTTAACTCGAGACTTGAATTAACCTTACCAAAAATATTAGAATTTTATTCACACAGGATATATTCATACAATTTTTTTTTATAAAATTCATCCTTTATTTAAAAGAATGATTTTACTTTATTTACATACTGAAAAAATATCAAATTAATTGCTCATCCATTCTCGAACTTAACCACCATAGTTTAATATTCCGTCTCCATCTTGTACTCGAAACGTTTTTTTGGTACTGTTTGAATTTCAGTTATTTTCCACATCGTATGCTGGAATCAGATTCATCGCTTCCATTTGCGTAAATTATTTATTAATCAGTTTCTTCTTTGCGTATATGTACAACTTTGCAAAAAAAAATGTATTTTTTGCATATTGCTCTGAATTAATCAACAACAAAAATTCTGACGTTCTATACATGGGTTTTTTTAATGTTAAGTGATATAAATATATGCTTTGACTTAAGTTATTTTTTGTATGATTTTGAGCTAACGAGTAGATAATTCGATTCCGATGTTTTTCAAGCAATTGACTGACTTCAATAGAAAAACTTCTATCATGAAACTGTTAACCTACGAAACAATACTGCTAACCTTTACTTTAGTGATGTTATCACTCAGATGATTCTTGTTCTAAACCAAACTTATGTTTGACATTTTTTTAAAGAGATGTGAAAAAGTGTCAAAAATCAACCGTTACCGAACTCTTGAACTCATTATAGACAGTCCTGCATTGATTAGACCTTTCTTGGATATAGAAGATTGTGCTGAAATTTATTGTTCATTCACACTGATTAATCGATAAGATTATAAGCGAACTGTGCTGTTATAGGTAGACAATATATATTCAAATGCATATGATTCAAGCCTCATTTTACGTGAACACAATCTGCGAAGGGGAAAGTGCTTTATAATAATGGCTAAATCCAGAAACTGTATACAACATGAAGAATATCTCCAGATTATATAATCAACACCATTTATTGGCTTGTTTGGGTAATCTCAGCATACGCTTTCCCAACATGCAACAGTAGGTTCTCACGCGTAGGTTTCCCTCATCCGGGCAGACCCATATCTATAATGAAAGCTCCTGGACTTGGTCATCATCAGATAAGACTATCAATATCTCAATTGCATAAACAAAAAGATGTGGGGCTTGATGTCTTATACCCATACTTCTTGCTATATTATTTGGTCTTCGACTATTTAGATAGAAGAAAGTTTTGGATCAATTTCGTAATCGATTTAGTAAATTCTATATTTGAGTTAATATATTGTATAAACTATAACTCAAGTTTGCAAAAATCTTATCAACTAAGTAGTGTTAGTCTATCCCGAACGAGACAATTGATAAGTCATGAATTATATGGAAAAGGAGCAGTGTGCAGAGAGAGACACAAAGGCCGAAAGAGGATAGTAAGATAAGTCAAATCATTGAGATACTCCGAGTCCAGGGTTGGCTAATACTCCCATGGGGTGCATAACTATAGCTGGATTGAGAATCTGTAGACTGAACACTAAAGGCAGTGTGATCTGCATCAAGTCTAGTGGACGTTTGGGAGAATGGATTCAGCGGAATCGCAAGTTGAGAACACAAGTAACTAAACAAGTGCTTGGGTTCTTGAGTACAACTGGCGTATCTTAGGTTGCATAAGTTTGGTATGAAGTTGAAGAGTAAGCTGGTTTTAAGAGACTGACTGAAAGGCCATTTTCCTTGTCAAGAGACTTCGAAACTTTCCTGACACTTTTAAACATAATGCTCAGAACAGGGGTAAAATTAAGCATAATGTAAATTTCATCCAGTCTAGCGCCAACAACAAAGGTGTTAGCTCGCACTGGACTGGTGTGGGGAGGCCAGAGTAGTGTAACAAGGAAAAGAGAGGTGTGCGCGTTGGTACATGTGAGAAGAAAGTGAGAATTAAAGCTACAACTATAGCATCTCGTAGTACATGGAGTATATCGTCCTCCGAAGTGAAAGGCTTTGTCAGCCAGAGATGGAAGTGCAGATCTAGGGATCAACCAGTTTTTCCTCAAAGGAGCTATTTAGGTCCTACTTCCATGCAGCCGTTTTGCTACTCTTGACGTTCTAACTGGAAAACTCACTACAACTGAATGTAGACAATTGAAAATTTCCCATCAAGTCTACTTTGCCTCTGTTCTGACTGTTCACTTCGTTTGGGCAGAAGTTTATACACAATGGCATTCTGAAGTACTCCAGGACAGCAATTTTGGTGTTGGAGTCCTCAAATTCACCATTACAACTAGTTCGGACATATCTAGTATAGAACTTCGAGAGTAAGGATTGAGAAAGACTAGTCGCTGGTGTTAAGTCTCTCGATCCTTTCGACAGCTGCTTTGGCATCGGGAGGTGACGGGTTCAACAGGAGAGATTGTTTGTATGCATCTTTTGCTTGCTCAATAGCTCCACTCTTTTCGTAGCAGGTGCCCAGCAGAAGAAACACTCTGGAATTTTTGTCACTTAGTCTCACCGACTCCTTCAAGTCAACAAGTGCATCATCGATCAACCTGTCTCTTTTCCCCTTCGCCTGCCCCAACAGCAACTCTGCCCTCTTCGCCAATGTGTCAGCCCTTTCTTCCTTTGATAAAGTTTTTTTCATCTTGTCCGAAAGGGCAATGTCCAAAACTTTCACAGCAGCTGCAGTTTTGCCCAAACCCTCTAAGGCAAGACTCTTGACTATATACACTGCAGCATCATTCGGGTCTAGTTCGATGGCAAGATCAGCTTCTTGAAGAGCAGTTCCTGCTAGAGATCGAGCTTCGCCGGCTGACATTCTCGAATTTCTTGACTGGGCCACGCTAGTGGCCGCTTTCACAAAATGACGACGAGCCTGGAAACAGGGCAATAACGTGAGAAACTCAATTGATGGTAATTGTTCCGAGATATAAACAATGACAAGATTAGCTACAGACCCATCGTAGGCTTGAACTGCAGCAAATCAATAAGAGGAACGAAAACTCACTTCTGAACTAGAAGTTTTAAGGTTAGTAGTATGAAGAACAGAAGCTGCAGAGAGCCACGTGGTGAATGAATGCACTAAGCAGAACTGTGAACAGAAACGCATATCGACCATGCATTATAGATATAAGCCCAGTAGGGTAAGCGAGGGCATTGAACCCACCGCAAGATTAAAAGGAAAGCAGAGAGCATACCATTATGTCAGCTTTTCTTAAGACAAGATAAAATCCATTATTAAGAGACATTACAAACCGATAGAAAATTTGACAGTAAGCATGGTAGGAATTCTCATGATTTGCGATAGGTATATAATTTTAAAGCCTGGGTACTTGGATTATATAAACCGTAAACTTGTTTCCGTTGGACCGTAACAAGCTCTATTTTTATCCACCAAGAGTTACATTTTGAATACCAACAGAGAGAAGTTAAGTCAATTCTATTCTGTCCCTCTTAGACTTTAAGCATGTGACTTACCTTCTCATAGACTAAAGAGTTTAGGCTTCCAGAAACATTGCAATAATTGTACTGTAAATCTTATGGAACACTGAAGACAACAAGAAAGATGTTTAAATGAGTTAAAGGATTTTAAGCTCAAGTTTCCGATGGTTGCTATGGTGGTGACAAGGATGGGAAGCTGTGTCTGCGTAAACTTTATAAATCCAAGCCACTCTCCAGATTACGATTCGTCTATGTACAACTCACTATGTCCAAAGTCATGAACAAAACAGGAGAAACAAGAAGAAGAAGCTTTGGAAGTGAAAACAATCTCAGTGACGGAAAGATATATATAATCTGGGGTAGATATATCTATTCAACTTATTACTTGAATGTGCCAGTGTAGCTAAAGCATGAAAATACATATGAGCGAGTTCAAGAGCATTACGTTATGAGGGAAGCTCCAGTTAGCGTTTGGTAACAGGTGCCCGAAGCTAAAAGAGAGATCGGAGTATAGGCAAGGAAAGTGATTTCATTCACTAAGCTGTAAGAAGTAGTTTGTAATGGTTGAACGTGTCTGAAAAGTACATAACTTGACGCAAAAGGCACTTCCTCAGCTTCTTATGCCAGCATTCGATTATATGTTTGCAAGCAGCCCCATCGTCCTCAATGTCCGATGCTTTGACAGCTTAAGCGCGGGTAAAGACTCACCATCTTAGAGTTGGCTGCACAAATATTAGACTAGGTGTTCCTTCTTTAAAATTCAAGGAACGAAGTCGATTAAGTGCAAATTTTCCGCGACTTCAAGTCCAATTAAGCACGGCACTAGGATCTGCGATTCCAATAGCGCCGCACATTCACAGGCATAAGCCCGACCTGCTTATAAGCACAACAGAAATTTGAGCACTCAATGCTTGGATCGAACCTGATTGAGATGGGCGCGACGACCTCGCAGGCGCTTTTGCATCGTCGATCCGACTCTCCGAAAGAGAAAAATGAACACCACAACCGCGAGAACCATGCCCACAGTCCGCCATTCTTCAATCATCTTCACTCCACGACGACCCAACACTGCCCTTCTTCGTGCTCGACGATCTTCAGTCCTCTGCGTTCGTTTCACCAAACCAACACCACTTGAGAACAATCGCGACTCCTCCTCAGCGACCAAACTGCACGAGATATCTTTCCTCCGCCACTCCCGCTTCTCAAACTCTCGACTAAAGCCCAGAAACACTGTCGTCCGGGCAGCAGCAGGCGCAGGACTCAGGCTCACAGCAATCAATCCAACTAAGACCCTTCCGATGCACTCTCGTCGTCGTCTTCGTGTTTTACTTCCCCGTCTTTCTCTCAAAGCTTGAGAAGATTCCGCGCGGAGAATCGTCTGTCCTAATCTCCAGGCTTGATGTTCGTCAGAAGGGCTCGATGTGACTTCGCCACTTACAGGTACGACTCGAATACTACCGACTGCAGGTGTCGCTATTCAACGGCTGTTCATGTTCTCGAAGCCTTGACCGCGAGGGCCCCGACCAATGATCACGTGCCAAACCTCGCCCGTCTGTCTGGAACCCCCACAAGACCGGCCACCTTCTATGGCGATGGGTCCGCATGATCCACTTTAGGACTGACCATACCGTTTGTTGCCTTCACCTAATTAGCATTGAGGTCGAATCTGGTATCGTCTTTGCTTTGCAACTTAACCTTCTAACCATTTCCATCCAGTAATTTACTTGCATAGTCATGCGTAAGACATTACTGTACGCAAAAGTTTGGGCCTCAGTAGTGAACTCATTGACTTCGCAGAACCAGTTGGATAAATAAACCCAAGGGCTTTCTAATCAACCTCCACTTTAGCTGGAATCCGGCATTCGGAAAATAGTCTTCGGATACTGTAGCCCTGCTTCAGGGTTTAGCAATAAAAACTCTGAAGCCTACATAATTTATTTGCACGTTGGCATGACTGGCTCATGATACTCCGGTGTTTGAAGTGCAGAGTACTTTCTCTTTGACGTTAGTTTCCTCTTATCGCTTTGATCTGTTACCAACCAATCATGATTGGAATGCTTCATGGAATTATGGGTGACGACACCTGACGGTCAACTCCGCAGAAGCATCCCACCGTTAAGCTTGTTGCAGGTCACCTAGCAATGCGACCAGCAGGAGTCAAGTGCCTCCAAGTCCATCTCCTGTCAACATGATGCCGGTCAACCCGCGGAAGAATGCCGGATATGAGGCTCGCTTAGTACGATTGACGTGACTATGACTGCGACTGTGACTACGGTAGCGCGTGCCGGCCCTGAAGGGTTTGCTCCTCTCGTAAGTGGAGAGCAGACTCTCCAGCCTCAGATCCTCATGGCTCACGAGTCACGACACCGTCGTGGTCGGCTCCAGATGCTCGCAAGGTTGAGCAGCTCACGAGTCCTTTCTCTTACTAACGCTGACAACAGAGCGAAGATGCATAACTCTAGGTCGTGCGTGTAGTCTAATCGTATGCCCAAAGATTGACCTCGGAAAAAAACGTGCACATTGGATCGAGGAAAGTACTCGCTTCACAAAAAGCGACCAGCAGAAGTTTCCAAAGGGGTGCTTTGTCTTGAATTAAGTGTTGAACAAGTGTCGAATATGAGAAGCAAGGTATCATACGACGGCGACACAATAAGAGAAGAAAGAAACACGAAACGGTGCAAGTGGAGTGAAACAACAACGATTACAATTGTTCAACCTCTACCGTACAGACTTAGTTCGTAAGCCTTCGACGCATGAAAGAAAGGGACCTGGAGAATTTGAACGCAAGCTTGACTCTTTTCGGCCCTGGGCTCCTTCTATGATTTGAAACTTTACAGATTGCGCCCAGTCTGATTTAGGCAGACCTCCAGAGTCCTATGAACGTCTGCACCTCTCCTAATTGAAAGCAACTGTACATCTGCTTTTCTGTCCTGAAATGGAAATGATGATGTACTCTAGCGTGTAAGAAAGCACTTAGAGACCGTAGGAAATTAAAGATTGGTGCTAATGCTTCTTAACAAATCGTTAGGTTCAGTGCCCGGAATAATTCTAAGGAACTGATCAATACTTACTATAAGCTTGCAAAGGGTGCGAGATCCTCCATGCAATTTCTGGTTGCAACCTTTCAAGAAACCTCCTTTGACAATTCGAACCTTCCAGCTCGTGTAAAAGAGCTCGATTTCTGTAGAATGTTGACAGACCCCACCTGGTAAACAGAAACAAAAGATGGGACCGAAGTGGTAGATTTATCATCCATTGGAATATAATTTACGTAGGTTGATCTCTACATAAGCAGGAAGAAAAGAGTAAGGATGAATCTGTTCACGACACCAAGAAATTATACATGAGACAACCTCCTAGCTATCATGGGACAGGAGGGCCCCTCCAATGATTAAATCTGCTATTCGTTCTTCAGGGTGTCTTACCAGCAGTCAAATAGTCGCATACCAGATCCAGATGGATAGGGCTGGTGCTTGATATGCATCAATGATCTTCCTCGTCTAGACCAGGGCACTCAGCTACCAACGTCTCAGCAGAGGGATACTGCGGAACAAGAAATCATAAAGCGAATCAGAACAGTAGAAAACTATGTCCTTCGTTAGAATATGCCTGTCAGCCTGATAACCACACACCCCACGCGCTGGCTCGGAGGTGCCAGACTGAAGAAATTGAGGAATGGGAGAAGCTGGAATACAACAGTAAGGAAAAGTAGACAAAAGACTACTTAGAGTAAAGAGGTTATCTATTGTAGTGTGATTTTACGCCATGGATGAGATCAAATCGGATTCTAGGTAGCAACCAGGAATCTCTACGTTTATGTTTATGCAGATAATGGCTCCATCAGATAATGCAGTAATATATCGTCCTCCTTGCCCTACAGTCTGCATGTTGCGAAGTGGTTCCCCACTTTGCTAATTTCTAAGCGGGATGACTCCAATTTGAGACCATAGTGTTTATAGATGTCCTCTGAGCCGGAACAACTTGGAGGTGATCAATGGTTTCGATGGCGGATTCGAGGTCCACAACGGTTAAGGGGATCCTAATTTGTGGTCGGCTTCTTCCCTGTCGAGTCAAAGTTTCCTGATTCCATCGGCTATAAATCTACTCCCAATGGCAATTTCCTTGCCATCGCAATGCCCTGACTCATCCAAGGTTTTGTAGGCCTATTCCACTTGCCTTTTCTTGAGTCCAAAAAAAATCCAAGAAACGTTGTGGATACGGAACATGTAGCATATGGAGTTACTATTTTCTCCAATTGAGTTTGGCAAATTCAGATTCAAGAAAGGTCCCTCCAAATTTTTGCAATTTTACTACACAAGATGTTCGTGTGGGTTCCAATGTCAATATAGGATAGACTTTGAGATGTACAGCTGCCAGCCTGATGCAATGGTTAATGTTGCCATTATCCACTGAAACGCTTGTTTCAGTGGTCATATTCCATAGCCGTAGGAACTTGGTATTCCAAATAAGCCTGCTTGTACCCTCTCGGAGCTACTTTTTGTAAGAATTCCCAGTCTTCTGATTGTTCAGTCCCCAGCAAGTATCAGACGAAATAAGAGGAGACACTTGGACATCCTACGCAAAATGTTGGTCAAGTACCTCAAACCACTGACCATAGCAGTTACCTAGCCCATACATCTGCACACATATGCCAAACCCCTGGTGAAAGTAGCTTAAAGGGTGAAGAATGAAATTGATACGGCAGCAAACGATCTTTGTAATCAGTTCAGGAGAAGCTCACCTGTACTCCGCAGAAGAAGCAATAATTGAATTTGGTCCTTAGTTTCTCAAATATTTCTTGGAGCATCTGATGTACCACATTCCATGAGAAGCACTCTTTAAATGTCAGGTACAACTCAGTCATACACGACCATCCAATATAGCTCTCTTGAAAACCTAACTCGTTCAGTACATTAAATATACACAGGCCAGTACTACATATACAACTAACAGAAATTTTACAAGAATCCGGGACGAAGTACTGTGTATAAAGCGGCGGAACTAAGGGCAGAGGATTCTTCCGTTATGCTGTGGCCAGTTAAGACCGTTATTCTGTGACTGTTTGTAGTAAAAGTTTGTGTGCAAAGCTCACCTCTAATGTGATTTCTTCTTCCTCCTCAACTTTTTCCTCGGCAGTTTCAGTCTCAGCTTTGTCAAAGGTGCTGAGAGACTCGGCTTTAGGACTAGAGGAACTTGTAAGCCTCTCCTCCAAATCAGTAAGAGTGGCACTTGCTTTTGCGTAATCACTGGCAATTTTCCTACTTTGCCAAGAGCTTTTTCTCCTCTGTTGGAAATCAGCTCTGAGTTCCTTCTCGGCTTGTCTCTGCTTCACACTTTCGAACTCGGCTCGCCTGGCCTTCAAGATTTGCTCCTCTTTGATAGCTACATCTCTTCCTAACCCTGTTCGGCTGCGTTTGAGATCTACACTCACAGGCTCCAAAACACCCTGACCATGCTTTCCGAGAGCAGCTCCAGGAGTGTAACCCATTTGCTGAAGCATTTTGAAGCCTATGTTACTGGATGGTATGGCTGCACCCAGTCCTTCTTTGCGCTGTTCTTCCTCGGCTTTTCTCTGCTGTTCCAATTTTACTTTTTTCTTTCCTTTCCCGTTCTGCTTGTCTCTGTCTGTGAATGGTTTCCCAATCTGAAACATACAATTCTCATCAATCACTAGGAAATGAACTATCAAAGTTGAAACAACGTGTTCGGGAAATGCATCACTCTTGAATTTCTCTAAAAGGCTACAAAAAGACGAATTGTAAAACTGAAACAGCAACAGAAAACACCCAGCGTTCATACCCTGCAAGAATTAAAATCTCAGCATGCCACCCTCAAGTTTGAATTCATGCGTCAGATTTGGAGCCCACTGCGAAAGATGCCTCAGTTTGAAAAAAGGATAATTTGATATTTTCAATAAAGATCCAATTTCAGTATCTAAAATCTTTAGCAAATAATTTGACCTAACTCAAGTTACATAATGATATTAAGCGCAAGAACAAATTCAGATTCATGTGCTACTATCGATCATTCATTGATCTGCCTCGCATACTCAAGCAACTTACAGAGTTTTGCGATTTTTATTTATCAAAGACGACTAAAATCTTCCATTGAAAAACAGCCCATCAAAATTAATGAGGCTCAGCTTGCACATCGAAGAAGGAAGGTACGCATGCAACAATCCATATCTACACCATCAAACTAAAAGCTCCAAAACAACGTAGACGGAACTAGAATAAGCATTGAAACGTACTGATTGTGGTGCAGCGGAGAATTCAGATGGAATAAACCGAGTCAAATCCGACATGTAATCGTCATCCTCCTCCGCCATTATTCAGAATCTTCAGTGCAGCGTGCTTTCAAATTGAGAGAATATTTTACAAAATGTCATAGAGTCATCCAAACTGTTCAAATGGCATCGGACCCTGATATGTCATGTAATTACAGCCGATTCTACTAACAGACGGTGAAGCCAATCACCGTGGTCGAACTTATCGTTGAAATCACGTGGAAAACAACATCACCGAGTATGCAGTTTGAGGCGAAATGTGGAGAACGCATATGGCAGCATATCCCATATTCCATATACCGCTAGTGCTCGATTCTCTGGAGATAAGAGCTCGATCACCGTAACTTGTGAAGTGAACAGTTTCAAATTGCATTGAGGACAGACTCTAAGAGATATTCTCATTTCCCTTTGCCGGCTTCAAACTACATTTCCGTTGCCTCCGGACAGAGCCTTCCTCGACCTCCATGTGGTCGACGCTTTTCACGTTATAGTCAGGAAGCAAACCAAGCAATGCATTCATTCCTCCAATGAAATCCCATCTCGCGGGAATACGGTACCATGCCCTAAGATGGCGGCAAGTTTAGGGCGTGGTACCACTAACTTTCTCTGATCACGCCCACCCACTCCCACGAGGAAGAAACAATGGCTGCTGCACAGACAAAATAATTTTTGGCAGGAACGTACTTGAAACTGTCCCATGCATTTATGTTTTACTAATACGATTGAATTGGTCGAACATGAACCGTGTTTTCTCCATGACATAAAAATCAAGATCATAATTTAAACATGGTAGTGAACCTAGAAACTTGTCTCTCGTTAACCACCGTTGAGAATGCACATGAATATCAACGAATTGAAAGATCTAAATTCATATACCCTTTCACTTTGACCGTACTACGAGTATAGGATGCGCTCTTGATAAAATATGCTCCTAGTGTTTGAAAAGCTGTAGGAAGTTAAAATGTACTATTTTTTGTACAACTCCATATTTCATGAAAAAGCTCTAAGTTATCCTCTTGCATAGGCGACCATGGCTATTCTCCTTTAGAACGGGATACTAAATTGAGAAGAGACTTTTAGAAAGCCGGACGGTTTGGCTGGCACTGCCGCTAGCGGCAATTACAATCCCAACATCGAGGATATAATGTTATTAGAGAATGAAAATACAAGTCAAGTGAGAATGATGATACATTTGTCATATTATGGTTATTAATTAAACTTCGAGCATAAAATTAAAATGTATCCTTCATCAGTTTTTTTATAACTTTACCAGAAATAGAAAAAAAGAGATGGTGGGGTTTAGAGGGGTATTGAAGCGCCAGGCTTGGATTGTTTCTACTTGTGATGATCTGAAACAGGAAACAAACGTCGAAGAAGAAAAAGAAGTTTAAGTGCAATAATGTATGATATGTATGGATGTACAGAATTTATTTTTCATCAGATGTAATAACTTTTAAAGTTGCCCTCGAAATTTAGCAAAAAATATTAAGGGGGATTCATTTCTAAATCATAATTGCTAGGTCAAATCCCATAAATGTTATTTCCTGACATAAAATGAAAGGTAACCATAGACTTTGAATAAACACCACGCTTAAGGGAATTTTGTTCCATAGAGCAAAAAAAAATTGTTGGAGTAGAAAAGACCTAATAGAATTGCAAATCAACCGGCTTTCGTAAATTATTCTTCATCTTACCCGAACCCGAGGTGGCGCGGTCAAGAGTCCTCTAGATCTGCTGCTAGGGTGATTAGGTCCACTTACGGGAGCTGTTAAATTTATTAGTCCACCTAATTTCACAATACAACACGATCCATTCTTACTTTCATTTTGTTGTTTCAACCATTTTACAAGTGAAAAAATACACAAATCACTCTTCTAATTTTCTCAGCTTTGTTTGCTCGCGATTCATCATTTATAACTCTAATTTATCTTGGATATCTCATCTCTACTTGTTCATTTTCCACAAATTATAACTCTGATTTACATCGGCGACCAGAGGTTCATACAACTAAAGACAAGACTATATTTGAATTCGATAATGACAAGTCATCAAGAATGATACCATCCACTAAACATTTAGCAAATATACTAAACTTGCAATAAGAATACTTCTATATAAACAACTAAACGCTACCCAACGTGGTTTGAGTGACACCTCCCAACAGTGACATACAACTCTAGCACCAATGTAAGTCACTATGGGGAGGTTTAACCATGTGCATTGTATCATAGTGTATGCATCTTTGAAATATATATGAGATACTGTACTCCTGACTGTGTAACGCCTGAGAACTCAATCGCATGGATTTACATGCACAAACACATGTCATGACTACATATGCAACAATAACAGAGTTTCAAAGGACGATTACCTTCTTCAAAGGTCCGAATACAACTGCAGGAAATGTGCACACTTTCTAAGTCTAAGACAGTGTCTACTCTTGTACTTTAGCTAGATTATGTTAGGTTTGACATATGAAACATTCCGAGTTCACTTTAAAAGTATAGTGATTATGACCTTGTAAATCAGTGTGCATTTGTGCCCGCAGAGAATATTACCTTGGGAGGCAAAACATAGATACAAGTACGACACGAAGCATAAATATAAGTAGGATTGATCTTTTTGAAAAGAGGAGTAGGCACCCAAGAGGTATATGTGTATGAGGTGATGTTCTTGATTACAGTGATTTGAGAGAGGAGTGAAGGTAACTGGAGTGGTTCTATCTCTTAAGTGGGCCTGAAGCTCATTGAATATTCGACATTATCACGATAAACAGCAGTCGACTTGACACGTCGTACCATGTGGATGCTAATCCCGTGCCACCATATAAACCTGACGACCTACAGCACAGTAGGTCGTCAAAACTATAAAAGCAACCACCTCCGAATGAATTCAAAGTATCCTCTATCAGCTTCTCGTATCACATATTGTGCTCGAGAATGGTGAGATCAAGATTAAAGAACGAGAACGCTGCCGGAAGAAGACAAAAGAAGGATTGTCTGGTCAACAGCGGTCTGACTGAGACTTCAGGATAAATGACGAGTGTATGATCCTCACGGAACAAGCTGTTTTGCTTAGGACAATACAGTGTTTTAACGTCATGCCCCATTGTGTATGCACTTATTTGAACCCATTTTGCGCCGGGGATCGTTAATTTCACTGCAGAAGCAGATCTTACCCTGACGTTGAGAGGAGCGAACATCCCATGTCTAGATCTCAGAGCGACGGATAACTGTATCGAGCTGACATGAGAAGAATTTCTAAGCCTCGACCAGTACTTAATATTCTGTCTTCTCTGCAATTGCGTGGAATGGACCCGCTGATGCTGAGTATCAGAGGCAACGAAGTCCATCCACCCAGATCTAGATTCGAATCGTCTGCTGACATTGCAGTAATTGACAGTAATTCCAAAGTAGTGTGCATATAGATAGGAAAAACAGCTTTTAAGTGGGTGATAATAAAATCGTCAATTATGGCCTCGGATGTAGGGCTTGCAGGATATTGTTCTATAGGACCCTCAGGAATCAGACAACCCAGCTGCTTGTATACTATGGGCTGAGAAGATGTTACTCAGCCAAAGTCCGACAATTCAGGGGAAAAACCACAGAACGACGTGTTATCGATCACAAGTCCAATCGACCTGTGCTTGTGTGATATGAAGATCCGTGGTGTATCTTGGGCTTCAGCTGCTAAGAGCGGGTTCAGAATGTAAGACCTGTCTGACTGTGATCCTAATGCATGGAAGCTTGGGAAAGGACATCTGCATTCTCCTTACGTTAACTGCAGACTACACGAGGAGTCGACTGCTGAAGGGTGTGCTGGTACTGTTGAGATGTATTCAGCTGAATCGACGATGGCGTATGGTCCACAACGATAACCTTCCGGGTCTCTTCGCCGAGCATTTGGACTTCAAAGGTAATTTCATCTCAGGACATTTGGTTAATGAGGCTTAATGAAAATTCCGAATCTTAGAGTTTAGAAACCCTCTACACTCGATTGACTTGTGTAGCACTTACGGTACTGGAAATGGAGATATGGTAGAAATAAAGACATAGCCTGTAGTCAATAGGATCAATTGGATGCATACACCCCGAATGCAATAACGTTGTTCGGAATCTGGGAGTTTATTCTTGTCAGAACGCACACCAGTGAATGTGATGATCGACATGCGAGCTCTCGGTTTGCAGGAACGCATATAACTTGGTACCTCGAAAGCATGATTCATCCTGCTTAGCAAGGAGTTATAATCCCCTGCAGAATATTAGAAACTTCAATTGTGCAGCTTGAATGAGTAAAAAGGCTCGTCCGCACATACCACTGTTCTCGGTAATTGGGATTAGGCTCGGTACTAGTGAAAACTAGTACCTGACTGAAGCCATCAGATCGCTAAAATGTATACCGCGATGGCTTCATAAAACAATACTTCTGAATACTATTTCTGTCGCGTCTCACGTGACCTCCAGGACCACGATGCTGGACCAAATCTGGATCTGGACCCCGCAAGACCTCTGCTGGGGTCTAGACTTTGTGATTGGTACCGGACGAGAAGCAATCACAAAGCTCTGAATCTTGCGGCAGCCTTCGATACGTTACTTCAGCATTGACACTCCCAAGAAAAATGCCTCGGATTCCTAACGAGCACGCTTCAGATCTTTCGACCTTAAGAGAATTCCGCCAGGCGGCCACGACTTCGCCCACGGAGTTTTCTTCACCGACCGCCTGCGAAACGAGGTCCGCCTGGCCTTCGCCTCCTCGAGGCGAGAAAGGGGCTCACAGTGGCCGGAGGCGAGCCTGGCCAACGAGACCACCACCGACAGCTGGTGCAGAGATGTGAGCAGCAACAGGCTGCCCAAGCTGACGCTCTAGTAGAAGAATCTGCGGTGCTCGATATCCGAGTTCGGGAGCCAGCGGCAGCCAGACCCTTCCCTGCTCAGCCTGTTGAATACAGGCTCGCCCGGGTCCGGCTGAAGGCGACGACAGGATTGCCCGTGGCTGTGGGTAGCGACCTTGTGCATGATGTATTCGGCCGAGCAAGCATGGATTTGAGTATTAGCACCCAACGACGCAAATGAAGTGCCTTCGGTTGGTCGATGTCAAGTTTACGAAAGAAGGAACTCTCTTTCTCACCTCGTATGACACCGGAGAGATTCTTAAGATCACCCAGAACAGTAGCAGCGTTCAAGCGCCGGCTTCATCTCCCGTGGTGTGGGAATTGAACGCAAACAAGTCATAACCACAGTACTTCCTTCAGATGTTTCGTTTGAAATTGTTCTTCGAAAACGAGAATCGGTTGTAAGTTGGCCTTTTGATCAGGCACCTTTTAGATCACAGATGGATTGAAAAACATTCAGTCCTCGTCATGACTGGTCGTTGCTTCGACACTTGACATTTGTTACCGACGAATGAGACGTGAAGACAACGATTCCGTTGATTAGATAACAGATGGATGTACCGGACGACATCCTCATTGTTAGATCATCATGGGTATTAAGCACATAAAAAAACCGTCAGCAAGGCTCTTGAAGCGATTTATGAAGGGATAGGAGAAAAATATAACAACTACTTTA